TCTCTCTCTCTCTCTCTCTCTCTCTCTCTCTCTCTCTCTCTCTCTCTCTCTTGCACGTTTTCTCCAAGGGAGAGGTGTGGGGGATTTTCTAAACAAAAAAAAAATGTTTTTTGAGATATAATTTGGTTAGCTTGGCTGGGCTTGGGAGGATGGGAGGGAGAGAGGGTGGGGAAATGATGGGAGAGATGGGAAAGATAGGAAATGATGTGCGCGCGGGCACTTTTTGGCTGAGGGCTGTTTGTTTTGTTGTGTTTTGTGTTGGTTGGATTGGATTGTGTTGTTTTGTTGATTGGATTGGAAAGGGGGGAGGGGGGTTTGGTATACGAGCTAGATGAGAATGAAAACGGAGATGAAGATGAAGATGGAGATGAAGTTCAAGTTTAAGGAAAGGAAAGGAGAGGAAAGGAGTTAGATGGGGAAGTGGATGGATGGGAAGTAGTTCAATTTATTTTTCGGAGAGAGAGATATGTTACAATTGACCTTGGGCTTTCAGACAGCAGGTACAAGTCTCCTTCACCTCTCTCCCCCCCCCTCCCCCCCATATCTCATCTATCTCCCATCTATCCCCAAGCACTCAATGCCGTATTAGTCTCTCTGCATCCGCCCGTCTCGCTGGGCGATCCTACTCTATTCTGCAGGGGTAGTAGGTGCACTGGACGGTATATACGCGACCATGGCCTTCGAGGCGCCCATCATGCAGTACTGCACAATCTCAATCTTCTTCCCCCCCTCGGGCGCCAACCGCGCCAACTGTCTCACATCGCTCTGCCGGGGCAGGTACAGCGCCGAATCCATGCTCCGGACGGCGTCGTGGATCCGCTGCACAGAGTAGGGCTGCATCTTGTCCAGGTCGAAGATCTCATCGTCTCGGTATCCGGGGCCTCCCCACGGCGGGGAGGCGAATATCGCCGTCTTGGAGGCGTCGATGAAGGAGGAGGAGGAGGAGGGGGAGGAATTGGCCTGGAGATAGGCGAACGAGTCGTCGTTGACCCACGTGATCTTGTCCGCTACCCCGTAGATCTGCGCGTTGCGGTACGCGCACGCGATGACGGCCGGGTCCTTCTCGATCGCGACGATGCTCGACCAGCGGTTCGACAGGGCGAACGCGATGACGTTCCCGCCTGCGCCGGCGAAGATGTCAATGAGCACTGTGCGTGAGGCGGAGGCCAGGTTGGCGAAATCGTGGGCGACTTTGCTGCTGGGTGTTTTAGCGTCTATTTAACTTTGCTGAGGCGGGAGTTGGAGGAGGAGGGGAGGAGGAGGACGACGACGAACTTGGCGACTGGTTCGGGGGTCACGCCGAACCAGGCATCGTCGGTCATGTAGATGCCCTCGTCGTAGAGGGACCAGATACTGTATCTCTGATCCCAGTACCTACACCATGTCAGGGTGGAAACGTATGAAGAGGGGAGGAAAGAACTTACTTTTGAATATCGTATTCAATTTGCTTCCGAGCAGTGTAGTGGTGACACTGATCTGTGAGCTCGAAAAGCTGTGCTGCGATTTCCGTGGCCGGAGTCTCGTCGAATGTCTGAGCTTCAACGGACTCCTTCCCTCTCTTTCTCTTCCTCTTCTTCTCGATAGCCTCTGCTCCGCCGTTTGAAGGCCTCGTGGTTGCCATGGCGCTGATCGAAGATTGAGCTTGACCACCTGTACTGAGAGCGTCGACCTCTTCTTCCGAATCCTATCTCCTTCAAATGCTGGAACGGCTAATATCGAGTCTCTCACTCAACAGGATTTGTGAAATAAGCTCCACTTGATATCCGATCTTCAAGGGCGGTTGCGACCTCCTTGTCCTCCCTGCGTGGTAGTGTATTGCTTATACCGACGAAGACTGAAAGGATGATAAGAGGCCTCACCTAAGCGAGCCGACGATTACTTCGTATACCCCCGTACCTCCGTACTCCGTAAGAAGTCTCGGCGCGTAATACGACTCAAACGAAATACAATATACCGATCTATAACTACAAGTAAGAGAAATTAAGAATATCTACTTGCAATGAAGTAGAAACGTTAAATCGAAGCTTAATCGTCGGTTGCCTTAAAATTAATCCGAGAAAAATGTCCGACTTGCTGTAGTAGGTCGGCACCCGGGACCCGGGACGCTGTCATCAAAACACTTATTAAGTTACAACTACCGATGTAAACATTAAGGAAAAGTCTACTTGCTCAGAAAAAATTGCTATACAAATGTGAATTATAGGTACAAAGATGCATCCATTTGTTGCGAGTCAGTAGATTAAAATGTAGTGAAAATATGACTAAAGACTGGTCTAAGTAATTAAATTTTACCTGCCCGCCACAAACATCTTAACAACCACAACCTTGATTGAGAAAGAAAAAGTCCCTCAGATCGATAAGAAGTAATCGAATCTATTACTTTACAAAAGAAAATAATTATAAAACGGAAATTGGTAGTATAGAAAAGGTATTGTTGAAGGGTTCTGATAGAAGTCCGATTTTCGTTTTCTTCGCTTATTCAGCACGGCAAGCGTCCTCGTCCAATTAAGTGAGAACGGGCTTCTTTGAAAACCCGTTTCAAGATTTTGAAACGATCTAATAATCGTCTTTCTTTTTCAATTGATCTGGACACGAATTCGTTTGCAAAAAAAAAAAAAATCGTTAATACGTCTCGATGAACTGAAGTCAGATATTCCTCCGAGAATATTGCTTGCCAGGCCGAGATCTACGCCAAGATATCTCCTCGGTATCGCTACCGCTACCATCTTACGAACGTCAACGCTTTTCGTCGATGACATACAGATTGAAATCGGTCGATTCAGCGAAATTTCGCTCGATCCTCGCGCGCATCCCACTCGCAGGAATCTGGGACAAGGTGGTGTGGGATGCGGGTGGGAAAATGAGAGGAAGTAAAAAAAGCATGCACTAATTACTACCTTAGAAGCAGGCAGAGGGTTATTTAAACCGTCAGCTGACAATCCGATGACGGTCTCTTTGAAAGACGATTCTAAGAGGTTGGCATAGCTAGTGGATCACCTTAAGCCGATACTTAAAATTGAATAGAATCTGAAAACAAACGATTTAAATTATTTAAATCGTAGTTAAAATAAAAATATTTCAATCGATTAAATCGTTTTTTATAAGAGCTCGTCTTTTCGTTAGAAGATTATTACTAAAATAAGATTGTTTTAATCGATTAAATAGTCATTTATAAAAGTCGGTCTTTTTACGAAAAGACCGTTTTAAGACCGTCTTGTAGCCGTTCTGTGGCCGTCCCAAGGCCGTCCCCGAACTTAAAACCGTCTCGAAAAACGTTGATTAATAAAGAAATAATTTTTTTTTTTTCAATTTGAAACTTTTACTAAATCGATCGATTCCGATTATTAGAAATTTAAAGCGTTGATATATAAGCCGTAGCAGCGATACCGAGAAATATCTTGGCATGAATTTATTAAATTATTATTAAAACGATTTTATTTAAAAAACGATTTTTATTTATAACTATATTTTCGTTAAAATAATTATCGAACTATTTATATTTTTTAAAACGAGCCTATTAGTAAACCTGTTTTAAAAATATGGACGGGGACGGCTATAGGACGGCCATGGGACGGTCTTAAGCTCGGGGACGATTAAAAAGGTGAATTATTCTTGATTTATAACTAACACTGATTTTAAATCGTTTAATAACCGTCTTTGATAAAAAAGGGTCAGAGGACCGCTCAAATGACCCCCTACCTGCCTTTAAGGTACGTATTTGGCTTTAACTTCTGGGGCTCGGTTTTGAGTTCGGGGACGGCCCCGGGACGTTTACAGCGGTCAAGTTTTCCGACCCACTTTGGAAGACTAGCTTAATCGAGCGATACCCTTACGGTCCCTCGCTTCGTGTCGCTGAACGCGATAATATAGTATAATCGTCGGTTTTCTTAAAACTTTAATTCGAAAGAATTGACCGACTTGCTGTAGCAAGTCGGCACTACCAAGGCGGGACACCTATCAAGGCGGAACAGTAAAATTTGCTCCTTTTTAATGAATAAAAAATCAACCAACTATTATATAATAATAATTTTTTATAAAAAGATGCGCCGCATTTAGTTTGATACTAATCAATTGCTACGTCGCGGGCGTAAGTATTACCCCTCGAGGGTAGGGAAAACAGGGGGTTTAAAGTGGAAACTAAACCTTTAAGGCACCCTCGAGGGGTAATACTTAGGCCTGTACCGTGGTAATTGAATTTTAATTACAAGTTGTTATTCCTTTATTGTATTGGGTTAAAGTAATAAAAATAGTACTTTTGGTGTATACTTTTCGATTTTGGTAATGCGTATATATCAGAATTGCCGCGTATATACTAGAATAAGCGAGGAACACGAAAATCGGACTTTTATTTAAATCTATCAAAAGAATACGTGCATCACTATCAACTTTAATTTAATAATTAATACTTTTAGTAATATCATATATTAAATCATTTATTTTCGATCTATGTGACGTTTTTTGAATTAAAGTTGTGGTTATTAAGATATTTGTAATAATTAAGTAAATTTGAATTATTTAAGACAATTTTTAACTATTTTTTCACTACATTTCAATGTATTAGATTACCACAAATAAATGCATCTTTATAAAATTTAATTTCATTTTGTAAAGCAAGATTTTCTAAGCATATAAATATTTTTTTTTCTTTTTTGTATTAATAGTTGTTGTTTAATAAGTAGTATACCGTTACTGTCCCGCCTTGGTGGTGCCGACCTGGCTGCGCCAGGTCGGGATTTTTTACAAATTAAATTCAAGGTAACCGACGATTACACTCTATAGAAAAGGGTAATTTTTTTTATGTTGGGGAAATCTCTTATCAGCATCGACTATAACCTGTTGATGATAATATCTCGCGCGAAGTAGAATATAGGAACATAAAAATTCGAACGCGTATCGCTTTCACCGATACAACGCGAAGGACCGTAGGGGTATTGCTCGATTAACCTAGTTTCCCAAAGTGGGTCGGAAAGCTTCACCGCTGTACCCCCCTAAAACGGTTCCACGGTCCCAGAACGGTCTCTTCGTAAAAAGACTGACTTTGGTAAACGATAATCCAAATCGGTGAAAACGGTCTCACTTTAGTAATAATCTTCTGACGAAAGGACGAGCTCTTACCAAAGACGGATCAATCGATTAAAATGGTTTCATTTCACTTAGGATTTGAATTTTTAAATCGGTATAATTATAAGTTTGACTCCAATTCAGCAGCTGTAGACCTAGGGTGATCCACCAGCCCTGCCAACCTCCTAGGACCGTGCTTGAAAGAGATGGAGATGGTCTTCGAACAATCAGCTAACCGTTTAAATGACCCCTTACCTGCCTCCAACGTAGGTTTTGATATAGCCGTCGGTTACCTTGAATTAGATTTGTGGAAAAATCCAACTTGGCTGGGCCAGGTCGTTCCTGGGCACTACCAAGGCGGGACACCTATTTTCGTCGTTATCAAAGCGAGCTTGCGAAGCTTTGTATTACCGGAGAGCTCCTTCCCCTATAAGGGGGAATGTGGCCTCATGAAAAAATGCAAATAACCTTTTTTAGCGAATGGAATTAATTAGTCAGTTAAAAAGTGCGCGTGGTGACGGGAGGCAGAATCCCGAAATAGCAGACAACGTGATTGAAGTACCGGTACTGACAATTGAAAGATTAGAAATATACTATTATTTCGAACTTCAAATCATTTAAACAAACACGCCTCTTAAAATTCTGCGAACTCTCAATTGCGCGTATATACCTTGGTAGGTGCACTCCCAAGCTCGCTTTGATGTTACGTAAGCTGCTTGCCATTTACGTCAACTTACTTGATAAAATCGATAGAAGATTAACCACCTATAACGTTGTGATTACTCTTGTTCGAAAATATGCACCGTACTGATTCTATTAACAGTCAACTAATAAGATTCCAATTATTTGTCGTTGTGTTATCCTTGTGCTGGATTAAAGTAGTATTCTAAAATGGTACTTTTGATGTACTTTTGACATTACGCGTCCGTGTCCTGATTACATATCAGAATTGCAAGTGTCAGTACTAGAATAAGCGAGGATATATAAAATCCGATTTTTTAGGACAGTTTTTAACCGGATTTACATTACATCATAATGTTTTGGCTTGCAATGAATAGATGCATCTCTACAACTATGATACAAGTCTATAAAGCAATGCTTCTTAAATATGTGTATTTTATTATTATTATGCTTTCATCAATAGTTGTGATTTAATAAGTCTTTTCATGAATGTTTCCCGCCTTAGTGGTTCCGACGGATCGATTGTTCTCGAATTAAATCCAAGGTAACCTACGAGTAGTAAATCTAATAATGAATAGTAAATGTACACTTTCGGCTATGCAGTCCTTAGGCATGCGGCAGTTTCTGCTCTGCTTCTTTGCTTGTCTTCTCTTTGACTGTGATCCATCCTATCTGTAGGGGAAGGGCGCACTTGATGGTAGCTTTTGCTGTGATAGGTACCTTGAACTGCTTTTTCGGGCTGTCTTGTATGTGACTCCTTAGCTTCGCACGTCGCCGTACCTTAGGGGAGGTCTTCAGGCGGCTGGCTCCGCTTGCCACCCACCCGACGTTTTGATAAAATATAATAATAACAAATAACAAGTACCTTACTCGTGCGATCATGAAGTCTGTTCGCCAAGGCGAAAATAGCTCAGAAATAAGTTGCATGACTCTAAGGAAGTGCAAGCTTAGAAGTTTGTCACCGCCTGATTCTGCCAGCCAAACCAAAAATTCGAATACATGTCAAAGCATTAACTGGCGGGGGCAGAATTAAGCGATGACAAACTTCTGAGCTTGCACTTCTTTAGAGTCATGCAACTTATTTCTGAATTATTTTCGCTTTGGCGAACAGACTTCATGATCGCACGAGTAATTTTCACGCCCCGGAGGAAGGACGTTGATCGTTGTCAGTATGCAATTAGTAAAGGAGATTGCAGTATTATTCATATCATTAATTAAGCGTTGATTAAGCGTAAGTTGGATCTAATATTCCCGATGATCTCCGATATAAAAATAAAAACACAGTAATATTAGCCGCACGATTATTTATAGTCGACGTAGAAATTTCAATAGAGATCGATACATTATAAAAAAGAGAGCCTGCTTCAGAGTAGATTTGTCGCCTTCCTTACCATCACCTCTCTTTACTCTTATCTGCCTCATTATCGCTTTCCTTGTTATCTTTTTATCTATACAAGCTTATTCCTTTTCGTCAGCTCGCATTGACGCGTTTTCGGTACTTCCAAGATGATGCTACCATTACAATCTCTTAGCTCGATCTTGCTAGCCTCGAGCTTGCTTTTCAGCGGAGTTCAAGGAATATTCGATAAAAGAGAAGTCATCGGCTATCGAGTCGTTGCCGACGTAAGTTTCATTGGAATTTATATAATATAAGCTTATATTTACTAATTACGCGAATCACAGTCGCAGGCCCAGATTTTCAATGAAAATAATAGGCCTCATAGAAATAAGATGTACGATGGAGAAGAGTTCCGTCGCTATTTAACCACGGGCTTTTACTTGTGTAAGTCGATTTATACTCAGCAGTCTTAATCGTTCTTCGTTTGCGCAAAGTTAACCATCTCAATAGCAAACGATCCGAACAGGTGGGAGGCGGGAGGTGGCGAATCGTATTGTGTTATTAAAGCGAATAGTAAAAAGCTTAAAGAGTTCAGCAAAGTATGGATCCCCGAGCAAAAACCTCCTACAGACGAAGAGAGACATCGAGGGAAAGTGGTATATGACCCAACTTGGTTCCGTAAAGATGATGCTCTCTTGGAATTTATTCGTTCGAAAGTGCCAGAAAACCCGGAGAAGGCATTACGCTTTTTATATGTTATAGGATCCGATACGGAGCTGCAAATGGCTATCCCAACTGATGTAGTAAACGACAATGAATTAGATCTATGGACTCACTGCTGGAAATCAAAAGACGATATACGAAAATTCAAGACCGTTAACTGGATGAAATGGGATGTCATTGGAAAACCTGGATCTGAAAATAAGAGCTGGCATCAGTCGCTCAAGGATTGGTGGCGTTCGGTGTGAAGAGCTTGAAGGAAGGAGGGGAGGAATTGTTGATATTGTTTTTTTTAAGGGCTAGGGCTTGGGGCTTTGGGTTTAGGGTGCTGTTACTATTGCTGTTGTTGTTGTCATTGTCGTATCTCACAATACCTTAGAATGCAATTTAAATGAGTATAGAAACCGATAGATGTGTACTCCTTTTTTTTACGGGCGGGATGGATAGTACTAGAAAAGAAGTAGACCCGATCAAAGTCCAAACCTCGATATCCTTCTTCAATTTAGTCGTCGGTTACCGTCCGGTCGTATCAACCAAACAACACCTTCCTCCCAGTCTCACAATCTCCTACGGGATCGAACCCTGGAAAACCAGGCACGCAGGACAAGATATGCGTCTTTCAATCGATCTCTCTCTCCCGTCAGCAGCAGCTATCTTCACCGCGCTGTGTCGCCAGGAACGCCTTCTTGCGGGATGCGAGGGCTTTATGGATGGGATGGGATTCGGTAGATATGCTACACTTCCTGGATGTCGGACACGGCAGCTTATGGCCTGGCGAAATCTGGGATTAGTGGGTAGATTCCATGGCTGGTGGAAGAAGCTGTGGTGTTAGGGTCTTGGTTTGTGGAATATACTCGGCTCTCAGCTTGAGGCTTAAGGGATCTCTGACGTGCTACGCGTTTTGAATGGCGCGTATGTGGTGCAGTGATTATGATAAAAAGGTGTTGAGGGAGGGTGGTTATTACACGAATAACTGAGGACTTCGAGGACTTGCTAGAAAGCGATGAACATGTGGGATTAGCACAGGTGGTTGATTACGAGGTAACATGACTATTCAGTCTTAAATCACACCGGACCATCATCAGGGCCGAGCGCGGACAGTCCTTTTGCCTATCTTTTACAATGCCTTAGTAATGCTCCTCTCGTCAAACAGATCCCTCAGTAGCCCCATCCTACATGCCTCCCAGTCCGGCACACCCATCGAGTATGTGCTCTCAAACGCAAAAATGCTCAACTGGCCGAAGAAAGGCCTCAGAACCTTACCCACCAACTCGTCTTTCCTCTCCCAAGTTCCTTCGTCGCTGATGCCACCAGGTCCTATCAATGGCCGACGGCTGAGACTGTTCGCTGCTGGCAATGGGGACGATTCCGTCGGCACGGTTGAAGACAGAGCCGTGGACCCTAGCTTCTCTGAAATTTCGTCGATCATGGCGACGGGGTAGAAACTCGTCGGGCGATACACGGCGTCGATTGTGTCGGTGATGAAAAGCCATTCATGGAGTTGAAAGTCGTCGGGTGCAATGCATAGCAGCGTGTCCAGCAGTTTGCAGGCTTGGAGAACTGAGTAGTTGTTGTATGTTTCGGAAGCCGCACTGTGGTCGGGCGAAACAACGGATGAGATGGCTGCGTGTAACTCGGCATTAACGATTGGCCAAAACGTGGCAAGATGGACAGCAGAAGTCTTAAGGACCAACGCGCGAAGAAGCAAGTAGATGTCAGCTCGAGTTGTGGATGACGGCGACGAAGTCGTTGAGGCAGCTACTAGCTCGACGATCTTTTCTTGCATCATGGGCAGGTCTCCAGCGAAGTTGTCGTTCATTGTGGCAAGGACCAGAGTGGCGATACGGCGCAGGTTGAGCTGTGTTTTCCGATCAGCTTCGAGTCTAGCTGATGTTGCTCCCACACCAAAAACAATTCCTGCGGTTGTTGGTGGAAGGATCCGAGCGAGGAGCTCGGGCATCCTTTCCTTGTCACTCAAAGTCCACTGCTTGAGGAGTGGGAGCCAGTCACTATCGACCAGTGGCACCGCATTTGAGAAAAACCTAGCATCATTGAAGGCGTCTCCTATGTCTTTCTTCCATGTCTTTTGAGTGTTAGGCAGTCTTGCTAGTTGATAGAGCAGTATCAACGAGTTCTTCGACACGTTATCAGGGAAGGATTTGGACTTGAAAGTTGGCCCAACGACATTCGCGGAAATCGTATTAGCAGCTGCGAGGATACGGTCAGGTTCGACAAGAACTTTGGGAAGGTTAGGCGCAATGGAAGCCAAAATGCCCACGATGTCGTCTGATCTTGAGTTTGCACGATCATCGGCGTCGGGGGCACCATCAGAGAGCCCCATGGGCCGGGTAGCGAAGATCGCAGCCAGAAGTCGAAGAAACGAGTCCTATAAATTTAGCTCAATCCCAAGGTGAATTAGCAAGGAACTCACTCCTAGTTCTCTTCTCATCCTACGCTGTTCTCCAAAGTTGGTGTTGTCGACCTTCTCACCTAATATGGCTGCAAATTCTAGCAGGCTTGGCAATGTCTGTCGATGCGGAAATGGGTTCGCCAATATGTCTTTTAAAAACGTCATGCAGTCAGTCCAGATTTCGTCCATTGCGTCGTCTTCTAGCGACCGAGCATATTCGACCAAAAATATGACAAGATCCGTGTCACTCAGAGACGCCGTTAACGTCGATTTCCGAGCTGGATCCAGAGCAGACGGATTTGTTCGACTGTATATTGCATTGAAGATGGCTGGTATGGTGTGTTTCGGCCTAGAACCATCGAGCACATGGAGGAGGTTGAAAACAACAGGCGTTTTCAGGTCGTTGGGGCTCCTGGCAGACTTTTGCCAGATTTCGACTACTGTCTCCAGGCATTCTAGAGCTTCTGCAGCGAAGAGGTGTTCTAAGAGCCTCCTGGCGCGGTTCCTCATTCGCAAAGATGTGTAGTTGAAAGAAGCAGCTGATACTACATCTTGTGAGGCTCCGTTCTTACCACCCCAAGACCAGATCACGAAACAAATGCGTACAGCATCCTGAAATGATAGCAAAACCGTAAGACGATTGTTGGCGGTAGCAGTTCTTGCTTGAGGTGTTTCTGAAGCAAACACCCCTGATACCATATTACCAAAGAATCCTTGTGGCTGTTCCGGACTCTTGACTTGGGGTGTCTTGACTTCGTCCTGCAAAAGACGATCGTGAGCTCGTGCCAAGACATGTTCCAGACCGTTCAGGAGAGAAATAAGCGTTGACTCGGGAGCACCGAAAACTGTTTTGAGAGCAGAGTCTTCCTTGAAGGTTTCCTGCAAGCTATTAAAAGTACCCCCAACCTGCGAGCAAAATGTCTCTACAAGCGGTATCAGTATCTGAAAAATAGTATCCGAGTACAGCGGCAGGCACTCGGTTAGGAAGCTAACCCAGCTATCCAGAACAGGACGGCTACTAGGAGCTGCGAACCCTGCTTGGAGACATTTAACCAGAGATGCAGGTGGAGATGGGAGACTCGATTCTGCGTAGTGCTCACTATCATTGGTGGTGAGAGACAGATGAGGGTTTTGAGGATTGTCCACAGTTGAGCGCTTCTCTGCCGCAGGGGACGAGGATGAAGCTACAGGTCTGGCCGAGTTACGCAGCTTAAGTGTATCGAACACAACATCCAACAGTAGCACTTGAATGAAAGGATCCGCTCCCTCAAGAGACTGCATCAGTCGGTCTATCAGAACATTTTCCAGGTGTAGCTCGGCTAGAGAAAGGGAGTATGGGCTTAGGAGAATCTGGTGGAGAGTTGACAAGGCGGCTCTGTGAAATTGGCTAACGCGAGGCTCCTCGGAATTTTCGACGCCATGGCTTCCAGAAATTGAGCGTAGACAGACATGCAAAAAGAATTCGAGAAGAGAAATTTCACCGTTACGGCCAGCTAGAAAGAAGTAAGCGCAGCTCGGTGTGGGTTACGAGCAAGACTTACTAATGCGAAATAATGAGGGGCGACTCGTGTCGATAGTATTCTGCGCAAGAGCAGCCCACATACTGTCAGATGACCAGCGCAGCATATTCGACAGAGTGCGCAAATAATATAAACATAGGTCCAAGTCGTCTTCGCTATCGTACATCTGAACATTGCTGTCTACAGAGCTCGATGACTCTGCGGGGAGAGTCTGAAGGAATTCAAATTCCGAGAATTTCGCCACGAAGAGGTGAAACAGCCTAGATGATATTAGAACGTACATAATACGGGAAGAGAGGATACACACTTGTCAACTCCCACGAGAGTCTGAAGCCAGGTTCGCACAGTCATAAAAAGCTGGGTACGCTCGTCAAGAAGAGAATCAAGTAGGAGGAATACGGGCCGGGAGAGCATCACTTCGTAATTTGCGACTCCTAGAAGGCGCGGTGAGGTTTTGGTATCAATCGTGGACGTTTTTGACGCCTTACGATCCAGCTGTGAAGTTGTATCTTGCATAGTATGCGTCCACAGCAAGCCAAAACTTCTACCAGGATCTGCGTTTCGAGCCCCAAAGGTCCCGGTTGTGTCGTGCTCAACCATAAGGGAACATATTGAGGCCTCGATCTCATGGCTCGAGAGAGACAACGCTGTTTGTAGTTGCCAGAGACATCGAACTGTCTCGACGTGGTATTTGGGATGAGATGCTGACAAGTAAGACCATGCTTGCCGCACAAGAGGTTCCACGAGTCTAGATAACTCGATGGCAGATATGTAGGATGCTGAGTATAGATTAGTGGCGAGAGAGATGATTGAAGTGAAAGTTATGAATGGTAGTTGCGCGGGAACTGCAAATCTTTTCTGAATTGATTCAACAAGTTTGGCCACGTCCAGACTGTCAGCTTTAGGAACTTTGGCCAGCATCATTACCAGTAACTTGCTTTTGATACCAGCATCAGCACTTGACACTGAATCAGAAAGGCTTTGGCAAGTGAGGCTGCCAATCTCACGGATGAGAATCTCGCTCACAGCGTGAGGCGAGTATGGGGGAGGGAAAGCATCCAAATTCCCTTGATCCTGAATGTAGAAAGTCTTGACTTTTTGCAGGATTTCCGAGGTTGTGGCTCGGAGAATAGAATCTTCTTCCACAGATGTTGCTGTCGACTGACTCGTCGACGGCCTGGTTCGAAAGGCTCTTTCCGGGATGAGATCGACCAAGTCAATAGCGATACCTAGAGCTAATCTCGGTATCTTCTCGGGAGTGCCAGACTGACTGGGATTTTGCTGAGACTTTCCTATCGCATCTCCCAGTAATGTCAGAAGTGTCAAGGTCGTTAATGGCGCATGTATCAAGAGCATCTCTTCCTCTCGAATATTGAAGTGCGCGATTACGAAGTTCACTAAGGAGAGTCTGTCGATTCTCCCCGTGGAGGGTAAATCTCCAGGACCAATCGCTTGTGCAATCAATTGAATAATCTCCCCCCAGATCAATCCGCTCTCGACGCCATCGAAAAAGACACTGGCACTACGAAGCACCTCCGAGAAGTCTGCTTTAGTCGGTGCCTGGTCTTTGTATCTACGCACACTATCAACGATCGGTAGAAAGATATCTGGGACCACGAGGCCACCGATTTCCCATCTATCCATCAATGAGAGACATATTCGGAATGGGCGAGCTCTCTCCACAGCATTGGTGGAATCTCGTGCAATTAATTTTAGCAGCGCTTGCACCAACGGTTGCAGCCCAAATTCCTCAAAGTATCGTGTCCTAGACGAAGGCACAGACCCGAGAAGATCCCCCATCACCGAAGTCGGAGACTCGGGACCATTTTCACCTTCAATATGGGCAGGGTCCGGGCCGAGAAGCCAGGTCCAGAGACGCCTGTTGAGACTCATTTCTCTCCTAGATACCACTCCTGCTGCGGCAGTGATAAGAAGCTCCAAGTCTTCGCGCTTCACTCTCTCCTGCAGGACATGCGAATGTATGGGCAGATGGCTAACGAGTAGATCTAGAAAACCTCGTTGTATCAAGAGCTGTTCGTCACCCAGGCCAGCAGCAAAACATCTAAGTAAGAGGCCTGGCTCCGGAGAGGTCACGATCTCCCCTAAACGTTTTGTTGCCTCTTCATCATTTTCCGATCCATTTGCTGGTGTATTTGATGAGTCGGTAGACCAGGGCTGGCCAAGCTTTGGGAGATTTCGGACCAAGTATGCTAACGCACCAAGCCGTCTGCCGTTGCTCGTAATGGCGGCAAGGAAGAAGCATTGCCAGAAATACTCATCCCCAGTGCTATGATCCCCAGCCAGGTCTTGGGCATTGGCTGGTCTTATGCCATGCTTGAATCCGTCCAAGAGTTTCAATGTTCGTTCAAATTCCTCGCTGGTCTCCTCTTCCAGCCCAGGTAGCAACGCAAGTATGATCGCCTTCAGTGCTGGGCGTAGAGACACAGGATTAAGCTTCAGAATGTGTTTCTCTAGAAGGTCTAGAAATGGTGCTCTTACGGAAAGCGATGCGAACGAAAGTGTAGACGAGAGACCTGGAAAGTACAGTGGGAGATCGTCTGAAAGGGCATCTCTACCTATCATAGAGAATATGAAAGAGTAGACTTCGAGAGCTTTTTGGTGTACGCCAGAAGGAAGCGAAGGGTTTAAGCACTGAGCAAGACGCTTTGCGACAATTGATTTTGATGGAACAACTTTGATATTGCTGGGATGCGCTTGTAAGGACTGGAAAGGTCAGCATGTATCCAATTAGTAATAAGGATAGAAGTAGACCTTGAGGAGCCGTCCCAGAAAGGAGATGTAGTCTGCCCATTCCTGTAGGGCTGTCTCAAACAACGAAAGTGACCTTTCAACACCAGACGCATATCTGCGGAATGCCTTGTCTCTGCTTGGAGGCTCCTCTAAGTAAAGCGTTAGATAAATAGGGCTAAATCATAGTCTACGGTCCTACCAGAGCCTAACTGGTTCCTCCAAGTCTTTGCGACTGGTGAAGCTCTCCCGGAGCTGGCCGGGGAGACTGATTGTCGGCCTGCCTCGAGGGCCATAATTTATGCGGTTCGTTCGCAGTTGGTGGTTTGAAGAATCACTGGCATCGTCTGAGTATTGAGTCGGAGCCGAGGATTGGTTTTGCGCAAAGTGTGCTTTGGTTTGTATCGTAGGGTGCAAGGCTGAGAACGCATCTACTTTTCGCGTGGCCTCTTTGGAAAGGCTGTCGGGCTAGTCAGCTCGCATTCCTTTCCGCCAAGCTCCCCCGCCATTCGGATATCCTTGCACATCGGTAGTTAACGACGAATCCAATTTATTTCAAGACAAACTGCGAATAGCTGCATCCTGCCTGGCCTGGATGGGCAACTCGAGTCCAGTGGCAGTATCTACCAATGACCAAGCAAATGCGCCAGTTGGTTCAACGCCCACGGTGACGGTGCAGACGCTGGACCATGGCACCGGTTCGATGACCCTTGACGATGAAGAAGATGGTTCGGGAGGGGGGACTGCAACAGAGGAGGCCTCTTCTTTAGAGACCGGGAAAGATGGGCAGGACTCAGCTCAAGTGGAGGCAGAATTGCGGCCTCCACTGCCTCCAAGGCCATCCCTCCTGAAGCCTGCAAATCGACCAGGCTCGGCTTATGCCAGCAAACCTACCACCGGGCTATCGTCGATCGATATACAGACCCTATCATTTCCAGATGGATCCCGGGGCACTTTCTCTACTCCGGCTAGTCGAGCGGTATCAGAATCGGTGTCTATATCTGGTAATCCTGGAGGGCAGAGGACACTAAGCAGGAAGATAAGCCGAAATGGGAGCGAATTTGACGATAGTGCAAGTGTCATGAGCTACGCCCCAACGCTGAAGGCCAATGGAGATCTTGCAAGTCTGTTAGATGAAGGTTTGAGCTCCCAAAGTGCTGCGTGGAAGCTGCTCAGTACTCAAACGGGATCCGTGAATGCTCTCGAGGAGGCAGACTACGAGGATCGATCCTTGGTCAACTTTGAGCAAGAGTTCGACGAGATAGAGGCTGTGGATAACAGTGGTGCGAACGGAGGTAATGCTCGCTCAAAACTTTCATATTAGCGCAACGCTGATCCTACATGTAGAGGAAGTCCTGCTTCAGTGGAAGTCCAAGTTCAAGCATTATCTTATCTTGTCCTCTGCCGGCAAACCAATTTACAGCCGTCATGGTGACCAAAACCTAATAAACGGATACATTGGGATCATTCAGACCATTATATCATTTTTCCAGGGGGCGAAGGATCCTTTAATGGGATTTACAGCTGGAGCCACAAGATTTGTTGTGTCCATAGCTGGACCACTATACTTCGTTGCCATCAGCAAGCTCGGGGAAAGCGATGTCCAACTCAGAGCTCAGCTAGACGCATTATACATGCAAATTCTCTCAACCCTTACCCTACCTACCTTGACTCAGCTGTTCACGAGTCGGCCCAATACTGATCTCCGGCGGCCTCTCGAGGGCACGGAAATTCTACTTTCGTCGCTGGCAGACACGTTCACGAAAGGCTCTCCGACGGCGTTGCTGTCCGCTCTTGAGTGTTTGAAGATCCGCAAGTCTCAGCGCCTTGTGATTAATAATACCCTCTTGAAAGCTCGATCAGAGAAGCTTCTGTACGGCATGGTTGTCGCGGGTGGGAGACTTGTCAGTGTCATCAGACCAAAGCGACATTCCCTTCATCCCAGTGACCTGCAGTTGATCTTCAACATGCTATTTGAAGCCGGCAGCGTGAAAGCCGGTGGTGGAGAGAACTGGATACCAGTGTGTCTCCCCGGCTTTAACAATAGAGGCTATCTCTACATGTACGTCAGCTTCTTGAGCGCTTTGGATGAAAAAGGTACAGCATCCGAGGAGCGGCCATCGATAACCAGCACCAGCAGCAGTAGCCGAGAGGACGAGATAGCCGTTCTCCTTATCAGCGCGGACAAGGAGAGCTTTTTCGAGCTCAAGCAGATGCGAGATGATGTTGTGGCCCAACTCTACAGCAACGGCAGTATGGAAATCATCAGGACCGCGGTTAGCCAGGGCCGTCCGAGCACTACCGACATTGTGCCCGGAACCTCCCTACGACATTTCCTCTACAAGTCACGTGCCAACGTCCAGTTCACCATGCCATCATTCTCCCCCCATTTCGACACCCTCCTAGCACGAAGGAAGTAAGTCCATCTCGCCACACGTTATCCACAGCCACTCACACCGGTTATATCCACAGACTCGTTAGCTAACATCGGCTCTTCCAGGTTGATGACGCTGTATCACAACTTACACGCGTCCACCCACGCCAAACACTCCCACCTCAAAATCCTACACTGCATGAACCGCGACAGCATCTCTCTGGCCTGGACCACGCCGACGTTCGAATTATATTGCGTAGCAGGACCGCACGCATCCCGGGCCGGCCTCGCCCAAGGCGCCAACAAAGTCATACAGTGGGTGAAGCGCGAGGAAGAACGAGTCTTCATTATCGGAGGTGCCGTGTTCTAAATTGCTCTCTCTCTCTCAACGGTAGAAAAACATCAATGAATATATACATAGTCGGTCAGGAAATCAGTTTCTCATATCCAATGGCATCTTACTCGCTGGAAAAATAAGAGGCAATGAATGGCAAGCACCTCCCTACACCTTAGCTCTCTCTAGCCACTCGCAAAAGGCCTCCAAAAAAGAGGGAGAAAAAAAAAGAAGCAAGTTCCATTTAGACCCAGTCGAAACCCAGCCCAGCCCAGCCTAGTCCAGCCCAGCTCCGGCTCGTCGCTCGTTGTTCGTTCAGAAGAGGGGATTGTACGTCGGTTGCTGGTCATGATACGGTAATCATCGAAATTGAAACATGGGGAAAGGAAAAGGCGTGTCAGTCAGCCCGTTAAGACGAAAAGGGCCGTCGGAATGGATCCTTCCTGCTTGTTTGGTTCAATGGACAAATGAGCGTCGAGAGGGAACCTCTCAACAAGCTTTGTTAGTCAGAGTTACAGTTTAGAGGGTATAGAGCATCTTTATCGTCATGGCAGTGACTTTTTGGCCCGTTTTCAAAAAGATGAGCATTTGTTTAGAAAGCTAAGCAAGACGGAAAGCTAAGCTAAACTAAGCGAGCCACTAAACTTGACTTTCGCTTCCCAATTCCGCCTCCACCTCCTCACCGAGAGAGAGACCAGAGCCTGGACAGCGAATGAAATGTCCCCAAAATGCCAGCCCAAACAACATTGGAAGAGCCATACAGCCTGAAAGCCGCCAAAGACAGTATCCATCATACAAAGTGAGCGTAGAGACAAAATTACAACACTTGAGCAAGGTAGCCAGACGGGCCAACAAGCCCCGTATAAAGCCACTGTGTACCGACCTATCCCGTTCCAGCATCTGAACCTCCCCGTGCTGTGGTGCTTCGCAATTTTACTCGAGCTGCAATGGCAGACTTTGCACCTTTCAGCCATCCGTGTACCTTTGCCCTCAGCCTTTGTCGATGTGCCCTCTCCACGAGACGACGCACGGGTCCAACATGATCAGCGCTTTTCCTACTATCATGAAGATTTGGGATAGATCTTGTGGCCACAGGCACTGGTACTTCCGGACCATTCCTATCCTTCCAAGTGATATCGTCGTATGATTGAGTACCGGCTCTCATGGCATAAGGAGCAGCGATTCTCGCTCGTAAATTGGAAAGTCTTCCCCGCAGATGTAGACTATGGTTGCTTGGGGCATGCGAGCTATCATCTGAGAAAACGCTTCGAGCTTCGGCGGGGCTGAGTGGATCAGGATCTGCTGATGCCGCTGAAGCTTGCGAGGATTCCGCGTATGCAGGGCCGCTATTAGATGTCGGGTTTGAAATTGGAATTCGCGGCAAAGTTGCTTCTTCATTTCGACTTGCATGGCTGCTGCTGCTGCTTGCTTTCCTCGAATGAAGATGTCTACTGACTTGGCGGAAGATATGATCAATGCCTGAACTTGGAGTAAAAAGATCTTTCGGGCTTCGCAATTGAGTGCCCACCAAAGGCCTTGAATCTACCGAATCCCGATTCACACGAACAGTCCCTTGAGATGAGTTTGAAGCTCTGATAACCTTTAGTCTAAATTTTGGAGTTTTCGAACTTGGAGACTGGGGATCTTGAGCGATTTGTGGCAGGCGAACGATTGGATTTTGTGTTGACCACGTGTAGTTCTCAGCGATATTCCATGGCCGAGAATCCGGAGGAGACACAGAGCGCTGACTCAAACTCTTTATCTTGAGCTTCAACCTAGGAAGAGGTAATGCATAATCAGGGGTGCCCAGTGGCACTGTCTTCTCTTCAGGTGGTCTTTGAGCTGGCACCCTTTCTACAGCTGTCAAGCCCTTCTTCAACTCACTTTCATAATTGACCAAGAAGGCCTTCGCGTGGATTCCTGGACTCTTTTGAATCACAGCCCTGTCGGCTTCCGGCTGAAGAGGGGGGAATTTATCTGGTAGCTCATTCTCTTCAGATGATGGAACATCTGGTAGAAATTTTGGCCAGCTGGATGGTTCAGGCGGCAGCGGGGGTAGCGCCTTCATGAGCTGCGGAACACTGTTCTTCAACTTCAGCTGCCTTGCTGGAGAGATTGGCTTTGGTGCAAGCATCGGAGATTCTGATCGAGCCACCGTTTTCTTTGGGATTTGGTGACTGAAGTTTGGAACATCATCTGTGAGAGAGGAGAGCTCCAGTGTTTGGTCCCCGCTGTAGTTTTGGCTACGCTTCAAGGGTCGAATTTGTGGTATGGCTCGGCCATCCTCAGCTCTTCGCCTGTGTATATTTTTGGGGGGTACGGTGCCACAATCAATGCTTTTTTCTCGAAATCTCGACTCACCAGGAAGAGCAGGAGATAACATAGGTGTTCTACTCAGAGACGACATTGAAGGGGGTGTATCTTGTGCGTCTGTGTTCTTGATTTGGCCTCCCAAACCGCTACGACCATTTGGCTGAGTGGAAAGAGCCTCGACAGTGCTGGACGTAGCTGGGTTCCGTGCATTTATATCAGTATCGAGGATTTCCGAGCTGATAGTCTCCGTAGTTCCATAATCTTGACGGGTACTGGATTGAGGAAGTTGAGCTGGGGACTGTAGGGACTCGATCAGAGACGAACTTGAGACAAAGTCTTTTGTTTCGGTGAGTGGTGAGAATGACGCTTCTGCCCTGCCCTGATCTTCTGAAGGTGGTGGGAATGATGGAATATTGATGATAGTGCTGTAAGAAATCCTCGCGGATTGTGCATCGACGTTTCTCCCATGACCATTGTCTGGGGTCTGGTCAATTTGGGACTGGGCAGCCACGTCGCGTTCACCTTTGTTGGGATCCGTGATTTCGAAAGCAGACTCGGGGAAAATTCCAAACACCTCATCGACATGGTTTCCTAGTTGTTGAGCTCCGTACCCTAGGCCTGAGAGGCTAAGATCTTTCCCAAATTGGGAATCCTCTGTGTGCAGTGGTGGTGAAATAGTTTCAACATCCACTGGCAGCGCTCCAGCCGCACTTGCATGTTCTCTGACATTACATGGTGTTGGTTTTCGCTTTGGGACCCCGTCGCTCGATCTTCTGGCGCTAGACTTTTGAGAAATCACGTCTGCAGCAGTAAATCTATTACTATCAGTGTCCTGTGGACTGGGAGACTCCGTTGGCAATCTCTCTGAGCTCATGGGACGATCCTCCGGGATGGTCTTATCGATTCTGAACAGAGGCGGTGGTTCCCGGGCCTCTGCTTCGGTGTGCACCTCCACTTCAAAATCCTCTGTATAGTCATAGTAAAGCGGGGAGGAAGGGACCTTTCCAGGCGTTGTTGTGGTGGATGGAGGCTGCAAGGTACTGTACAGATTGACAGTGGATGCTAGACTGAAGGTGCTGCGAGCTGGTGAAGTGTTGACCGATGCTGGCCCACCTCTGCGAGACCAGTCGTGGCTTGGATACCCATTGGGCTGTGGAGCTAAGGGGCTTGAAGATCGACGGTGAGGTGATGGTTGGCTGAGTAGGGAAGGAGTCGATCGGTTCGCGTCATGGCGGAGCATAGGATGGTTAGGTCTGCGTCTCTGCGCATACAGAGAAGATGGGGAAGAAGTGCTGTGGCCAGATCCCTGCTTGCGCGGCATTAGACCAGTTCTCCGGTTCCAGATGCAGCTCCCACGTAAGCATAGAGAGCCGAAGAGACACCTCTATAGCTCTTGGAACACTTACTTTTGGTATTCTCTCAATTTCGGCACGGCGACTGTAATCAACAAAACCCCCATCCGTCAGTGCGGGGGAGGATGGGCGGAATCCAGGGCGTTTCAACCGAGTTGGATACGCGAATGGGGATCTTGGTCGTTGGACTGGATTGCTGCCATCGGCTTGGCTTCGGAGGCTGGCATAAGATCGATGATTTGATAAGGTATAAGACGAATACGATGTTTGTGTCATAGAATATGATCGATAGTCAGGTTCGTCGAATACCCGACTTCCCGTCTTCTGGCTTGCCGTCTCGTACATGGAGATAACTTCGGAAGCTGCATCTCTCGCGTAGGAGGGCAGACGCCTCCTATCGTCGACAACGGGGACTCCGTAAGGCTCGAAGTCGTGTCGAGGTCTCTGTAGTCCGGACTCCTTGTAGCCTGCGGAAGATCTTCGAGGCGTGCCTAGATTTTGAGGAACGCGTGATGGCTTAATAGAAAACATGCCAATGTCGCCTGTCTCTGTCGTCGTCTTTAGCATACCCTCGAAACCGCGTGGAAGACTGGCAGAACATTGGTTCTCGCTCGGTCGCTGTGGGCTGGTGCCGCTCCGCAATGCCTCTCTCTCCATTCCTGCGCGAGGGCGTGTTGATAGGGTCCTTGATAGGGTACCTTCGCCATGGGGTTGGTCATGGCTTGTTCGCCGGACGGCCGGCTGAACGGCGTCCATGGTCTGAAGACTTCGTTCGACCTTGGTAGTGGTGCGGCGCGGGATAGAGAGGAAAAGAGGGAGAGAAGAAGAGAGAGAAGAAGAGAGAGAAGAAGAAGAAGAAGAAGAAGAAGAAGAGAGGAACAGAGAGAGAAATGACAGGAGCACCGGTCAGAGACGCGCGACCATTGTCCACCACGACCCCCGAATCTGTGACATGCGGATAGAGGACGACGGTAGAGACATTCAATCGCGGTCCCGTCCTGGATGCAGCCTGTGCGTGAGGTTGGAATGGACTAGATGTTGATGGAGAGAGAGCGGAAGGGGGAAGTTGGAGGAAGCCCAAGATGTGAGAAATGTGTGAGGGGTGCGAAAGGGTGCGAAAGGTGTGTGACTTGGGGCCTGGGCATGGTGGTGGTGGTGGTGGTGGTCGGTTGGCTTGCTGCTCCCAATTGGGGAAGTCGCATGTGGTGTCTTCAACCGATACCTCTCTCAGTCATGACTACCAGATCGAGAAGTACCTACTGACTTGGTAAGGTAAAATACCTATGCAAACATGAGAGCACGTACTGCACCTTCCTTCTTGTATATTCTACAGTACTATCTCTTCTTCATGGTCGTCCATTTAGTGCTGACTCCAGAATCTAGGTTCGAGAGATATCTTTGCGAGAGCTAGTGTGCGCCCTTTCCTTGCCGGCAAGCTGAGGAAAGAGAAAAAAAAGAAAGAAGAAAAAGAAGAAAAAAAAACAAGAGAGAAAAGAAGAAAAGAAGAGAGAGAGAAGAAAAAAGAAAAAAAAGAGAGAGAAAAAAAAAAACACAGGTAGAAAAAACAGGGGGAAGTACATGACAAAGCCTCGATACGTTACTAGCTACCCAAGTACCTACCTAGTGTCCAAGTACTGAGCTATTGATGATTGTTTATCAGATGAAAGTATCAAAAATGGCAAAAATAGCAAAGGGCCAGTACTGGGCACCAGAAAAGGGGTATGAAACCAATTCGTGTATCGACGGACTGACTTCAAGAGCTAAACGTGAAGTGCACCCAACGTCGACTGCGGCTAGCAAGAAGAAAATCGGTGATCGGGGTGGTGACTGGGAATCTAGACGACTGAAGTAGCAATACTCGATCTCTGTTCCAAAAGAAGTTCAGTTCGACATGTTCCCTCTCAGAGCCAAATCAAACACTGGCTACCGGAAAAACCGAGAGACCAAAAATCCCTGATGTTGAACGACACCGAAGATATATGCCCTGAACGATAAAATTGCAAAAGAAAGATCGGAAGTAGCGAAGGCAACAGAGTGGCTATAAAGGGGACTGGAAAGTGATGATCATGCTGTTACAGTTGTATATGGCTACTACCGGTACACTACACACAAAGCACAGCCCTGCGTGGAAGCAATCGCTTGAAAGAGTACCGGCTCCGGCTCCGGTACTTGTTCTGATACGTCCGAACTACCGAACTGCCGTAACTACTTGGTAGATGACTTTCACCTGAGACGGAGGACGCACTGTCAAGTGAGATTTGAGTAGCGCCTACACGAAGGAAATACAACTATCTGTTCTCCGGGCATACACCTTGATTAGTATTTATCCGACATGGTTGCTTGTGTAATTGCTTGTGTAAGCAAGTAAGGAACGGAGTAGGTACCGGTACCGGTACCTACTTGTAGCTAGTTGTAAGTAAAGGCGCCAGTGAGCCACTGGCCAGCCAGTAAGATCGCCTGGCGGAGTGTTGCTTAGTCCGATCCTGATAGATGAAAAGCCGAGGTACGGTACCTGAGAGAGGACAATGGCATTACTGTAGATAGTGTAGAGCGTAAGTTGTCCCGAATAATCGTATAATAAGTACTATACTAGAATAATAGATGGTACGTTGTCCTTTACGGTTGGTGGTTGGTGGCCGGTCGGCGGGTCGGCTTCACGGTACGAAATGCTTATTTGTGGTTACAAGTAAAACTGGCCGGGATTCACTGCGACCAAAAACGAGCCCTGTCCTTCCCCTTTATATGCAGCACGGCCAATATCTGCGCGCCAAGGTTGGTAACGACGTGTGCCGCTTTAAATTCATGAAGACACGGTTGCAGTGGCCGGAGAAGGCTGAGGCGTGAATAAGTGTTCTTAAGCGGTGCCCGTCGGTCACTCAGTAGCTTAAGTACACCATTGCCTCTCCCCCCCCCATAGCCATTCTTCCCGACAAACACAATCACCATCGTCTTTTCATTCTTGACAATCACAGAGGTAGATCTTCATCCGTTTGTCCTACAGAGTGTTTTACAGTATTATCCTTCATCTCAACCCGTCTGCCCGGAACCCCAGCTAACAAGCGCTTTGATACAAGGCTACCATTTACTTTTCACTTCCACAATCACTCGACATGCGCTCCTTTACAACGCTGGCCGTGGGCCTTGGTATAGCTGCTGTCGCATCAGCATCCGATGTTGTTTCCCTTACAAAAGATACCTTCACAGACTTTGTAAAGACAAATGAATTGGTTCTTGCAGAGTGTAAGTTGCTCCTCAGCCTCGGCGCAATGCAAACTTTCCTGCGACTATCTGCTAACATGACCTTCTTCTAGTCTACGCAGTATGTTCTCCGTGACCGTCGAGTGCCAACTGACATTGCTAACCTTCCTCTCTCCAATTTAGCCCTGGTGGTGAGTTTGCGTGAGATGACACCTGTCCAGAAACGGGTTACTAACTCGCGTTACAGTGGACACTGCAAGGCTCTCGCCCCACATTATGAAGAGGCTGCCACAACTCTAAAGGAAAAGCAGATCAAGTTGGCCAAGGTTGACTGCACGGAGGAGAAGGCCCTCTGCGAGAGCTTCGGTGTTGAGGGCTACCCTACGTTGAAGGTCTTCCGAGGCCCAGACAACTACTCCGCCTACACCGGCGCACGCAAGGCTCCAGCGTAAGTCAAATCCTTCCTAGAAGTCTATAATCACACTTACTAATTTGATCTCTTGCAGGATCGTTTCTTACATGACCAAGCAGTCCCTCCCAGCTGTGTCGACCTTGACAAAGGATACTCTTGAAGACTTCAAGACTGCTGACAAGGTGGTTCTGGTCGCATACTTCGCCGCTGATGACAAGGCCTCGAACGCAACATTCACTACCGTGGCCGAGAAGCTCCGTGATAGCTTTCTCTTTGGCGCTATCACTGACGCTGCTGTAGCCAAGGCTGAAGGTGTTACTTTCCCAGCTGTCATCCTCTACAAGTCTTTCGATGAGGGCAAGTCCATCTTCACTGACACCTTTGACGCCGAGACCATTGAGAAGTTCGCCAACACCGCATCTGTCCCATTGGTCGGAGAACTTGGCCCAGACACCTACACAATGTACATGGAGACTGGACTTCCCTTGGCATATATCTTCGCCGAGACCGAGGAGGAGCGAACCACTCTTGCCAAGTCTCTTAAGGATGTCGCCGAGCTTCACCGAAGCAAGGTCAACTTCGCCACCATTGATGCTAAGGCATTCGGCGCACACGCTGGCAACTTGAACCTCGAGCCCGGCAAGTTCCCCGCTTTTGCCATCCAAGATACCGTCAAAAACTTGAAGTACCCTTACAGTCAAGAGAAGGAGATTACTGCCGAGACCATTGGCGAGTTCGTCGCCAACTTCGTTGCTGGTAGGATGCAGCCAAGCATCAAGTCTGAGCCCGTCCCAGAGACTCAAGACGGCCCAGTCACCATCGTCGTTGCTGACAACTACGGGTCGATTGTCATGGACGACCTGAAGGACGTTTTGATCGAGTACTACGCCCCGTGGTGCGGTCACTGCAAGGCCCTTGCCCCCAAGTACGACATTCTCGGTCAATTATACATTGATGCGAACCTCACGGACAGAGTCACTATCGCCAAGGTCGACGCTACCGCGAACGACGTCCCCGCTGAGATCACGGGCTTCCCCACCATCATGCTTTACAAGTCTGGTGATAAGCAGAACCCAGTGACTTACGACGGACCCCGTAGCGTTGAGGATCTCATCAAGTTCATCAAGGACGAAGGCAAATACGGTGTTGAGGTTGCGTACGAGGAGGAGGTTGTTCAGCCGCCTGCCGAACCGATGCCCGAACAAGCCGCTACCGCAACTGAGTCGGAGGATACAGAGGCAGCCAAGACCAAACCCAGCGACGCAAAGAAGTCTCCTGAGCCAGCTGAGGAGGCGCATGATGAGTTGTAGAGAGTGGGAAACTGGAGTAAAAGTTCTTTTTCTGTTTCATCAATTGCTTCACAAGCGCGATGGAGGGGACTCAATGAGTGAGCTTTCTAGAATTGGGTATGCCTGATTGATACTAGAATCGTCAACCAAATATTATGAACAACGAGATTTCCAATTGTGAACTGAGTGGCCCATAGTAGTGTAACTGAATAGACAAAACAGAAGTGACGATCAACCTAACAGCGAGGAATAAACAGAGGTTAGCACTGCAACGCCAAAAGGTCTGGAGTTCGACAGAGGTAAATGTTGGAGCTCCCAGCGTACTTGCTGCATTGCGGGCCCGACTCGCTTGGCGACCCCGGGACCAAGAATCCGGGGCAAGGCAAGCTCTCGCAGGCCTCGACAACCTGCGCAAGGCTGTTCGAACCCAAGCACTCGCCCGCCCACCACGAAGGAAGCACTTCCCCCAAGAACGAGCTCCATCCAACTTCCAACTTCCACCATACACCAGAATACAGCCCGCACGATGGCCTTTGGCATCCTCAGACCGGCCATGCGCCAGCTCTCCTTCAGCTCCACCCGAAGCTTCCAAAGCTCCGCCCGACGACTCGCAGACGTAACACCTATCCCAGTACGGAAGCCAGTGGGTGCATTCCGAGGAGGGTTAGTACTTTGGCTTTTTTTTCTTCTTTTTTTTTTTTCCTTTTTCACGCCGGTGGCGAGGGGTCTATAGCGTTTTGAACTTTTTGGCTAATGCTTTGTCAAAACTTACTCTACAGGCTCTTCGGGTTTCTGCTTGGCTCCACGCTCTCTGGAGCAGGTGTTTACTACTACGTTCTGGACGAGTACAAAGTCTCGAATGGGTTGCTAACGGAGGATATCTACGTACGTTTCCACCATTACAAATTTGACTACATTAAGCCATCGACGGGCCTCCCGGGATCGGCGGGCTTTCATAATAAACCGAGCTGATTGTTATTGTGCAGAGCCTGCAAGCTAGTGTGCAGAGAGTACACACATATGTGCAGACATTGGAGGAGAAGCTTATCGAGCTGGAGAAGAAGAAGAAATGAATGGACGGCCATACGGGTCTCTGAAAGATGACAGAGGGAGGGCTATACTCCGTTGAACTTGGGTTTGGGATGATGTGACGGGGAGGGTTACTTTGGCAGATAGATAGATGCCCCAGCAGGATGTACGACAGCTCTCTCGATTCTACTGCTTTCTCGCAGGGAGCATACAATATACCATGTACAAGTGTGTGCCTTTGATGATACGATAGAAGTCCCACCTCTATTCAGAAATTACTGTTTGCCAGTCAAATTCGTGGTTTGAATCCGAATTGCCGGTCTGCAGCCTCGCCTCAACGTTTTCAACTCCACACGCGACATCTGCACCTCCTCTCGCATCATCGGGACAACTGGCATGACATTATGACATTATGATCAACTTCGGCGTCAGAGAGGTCGCAAATTCTAAGAACAGCGCTCCGGGGTGGTCTTATGTGCCAGATACAGGAGTCAGCACGTCTGTTACAGCCTTACAGCCTTCTTCTCGAAAACGCGCCCGCAACCAGAACATCGCCAGCAGCCACGAAACGACCGCGAGGCAGGACACGAAGACAATCCGCGACCTTGCTGCTCTCGATCGCGAGAACTACAGAGATGTGTCGATCCCGGTGCCTATACGGCATCGTGACAACGCCGGACGAGGTAGGACTTCGCACTCGCATCTCCCAAAGTCAATCTGCGAGGGCATTACACTAACAATCTATGCGAATATAGTGAGCCACGGAAAAGTGACATCCGGCGTCCGCAAGATCTTGCAGTCCCAAAAGACATTCGCAAACTACCTCTCCGACTTTGAAGCCCTAGCCCATACCTCATCCGGCCTGCCGTCAGTCGTATCAGCGCCTTCCTCGACGCCCGCTCCGCCCGTTCCGCGTGCAGCACCAGGCACGTCCGCTCCGCACCTCACCAGCAAAGGCACTCGCTCGCACAAGAAGAAAGTCCCCAATGCCGTCTCGGCGCCCACTCCGCTCCGGAGGGTCTCCACTCTATCAGCTGTCAAGCCCGAGCCTAGCATGGCAGACATGCCCATGCCGGATGCGCCTGTCCTCTCCCAGGGGAATTCGACTTCACCCATCCCGCATCCTGGCGACACGGACCCGCTGCTCGTGTCGAGGATTCCGCCGATGCCTTCGCAGGCGGAGGTAGAGAAGCTGTTGGCGGCACCGCCGCTCACGTACAATGAGGCGAGAGGCCCCTGGGTGGAGGAGGATGCCAGGAAGCCCGTGAGGCAGTTCTGCGAGATTTGCGGGTATTGGGGGAGGGTGAGGTGTATGAGGTGTGGAGGGAGAGTGTGTGCTTTGGAGTGCTTGAACCAACATCATCTGGATTGCTTTACGAGGTATGGGGCTTGATTTGGTCTGTGGTCTGGCGTAATAGGGAATATGGATTCGAGGCTATGGGCTGGCTTTGGAAGACATACTCGCTTGTACTTCGAAGAAAGTCTTTTCCTTGGAATCGCAAGAGGCTCGGAGTTCAGAGCATGCTTCGAGGCTTAAGAAACTCGGAGATGTGATTGTACAAGCGTCTTCGCTCTTTGCCACGAGCTCTATCCAAGTTTCTCCCAGATCCAAGGGTCGGGGACTTCAGACATGAGGTATGTCAAATTCCCACTCTGAGTCATTCTCAATGTTCAAAGCGTTTCCGGACATTGGGTCAAATCTATTATAATTGGTTTCATCCCCTTATCAACTTTCCCCATCGTCCACAGCCAATGGCCATCCCAGACCCAATTAAAACGAACACTCAGTACTTCCCTTCACTCACCAGTTTCCTCATAGCCTCGATCGTCCCCTCCACAGCCATCCGGCTCATCTTCCTCTCCTTCGCCTTCAGCGCCTCCAGCTCTTCCTCCTTCATGCCAGGGTGCCTCCATTCAAAGATATAAGTCATGTATAGCTCGCCATCGGCGCCCTCACTCACTTTGCTCAAAGTCAGCTCTGGATCTGGCAATATTCAGGGATTCGGGAACTAGACTCTAGGGTTTCCCCTCTCCAACAAAACAGGCATCCAGGAATCAAGAAGTTCAAGTCCCAAAGAAGAGAGAAAGGGAGATGAAAATCTACTGCGAAATTTCACACACCAACATTACTAATTCGGCTCCCATCCGGCTGCTCAAACTCGACCCTCGCATCCTCGAATTCCGTCACCACCTCCCTCACCACGCGCTGAGCTTCTCGGAACATCACCTCGCGGACCGTGACGGCACCGGCATTGTCGCTGGCTGGGGTGGTGGACAGCACGGTCGTGGATTGGATGGCGTTGGGGACGAAAGTCTCCGCCGAGCGGACCTTGAGCTGCAGCATGCGCCATATCTGGGGGCGGGTGAGGGTCGGGGATGCGCCGGGGGGGTTGATGGGTGAGGTGAAGGCGATGTTGTTTGTTGAGGTGGGAGGCATATTTGGTGATAGGTTGTGTTTACGAAGTAGGTACCTTAAACTTCAAGAGATTTGGACTCTTGACTTGTATGATTTATGTGTGTACAGATATATATCAGATAGGATGATTTGGATCGTTTTTCTTTCCAAGCTTCTAGTTCTCACGTCATGCTGCAGAACGGTGTCGTAGGTACATATTGTAGATCGCGTGACTCCGTGTTTCAAAGACGCGTCGTCATTATTGTGGCGAAACCTTCCACGTCCGCACTTGGACGTCTGCTCAACCACAACATCTCATCCTCAAATCCACATCTCAAGATGCCCCTCGGCTGGGAGAGAATCAACGTCAGACAATCGCATCCAAACAAGAACATCGTCTTCATCAAGCCCCTCCCCGGACCAGATGAGAAGACCTCCAAGGACTACCTCGAGCGCATCGCAGCGCAATGCCTCCCCGTCATGAACAAGCACCACCTAGCCGTGGCATCTCTTGAGGAGTACCAGCCGAACCACGAGTTCTGGGGTGCGCGAAAAGCCCTCTCATTGACAACGAATCTACCTAGGCAGTCTAGCTAATTCCATACCCAAAACAGGTCGCAACTTCAACAATGGAGAGGTGATCCAGCTCGTGCTCAGATCCCCCTCGACGGGCAACTGGCTCCCCTTCCGCTTCGTACAGATGGTCATGATGCACGAGCTCGCCCATAACCAGCAGATGAACCACTCCGCGGCCTTCTGGGCCGTGCGCAACGCCTTCGCCGCCGAGATGCGTGCTCTGTGGGAGCGGGGCTACGTCGGGGACGGCCTGTGGGGGAAGGGGGTCCTCTTGGAGAACGGGGCGTTTGCGCGCGAGACGCTGGAGGATGATGAGGTGCTGCCGGAGCATATGTGTGGGGGGACGTTTCGGTCCAGGGGGGCCGGGAGGAAGAGGAAGGCACCGAAGGAGAAGGTGAAGATCACGTACAAGGAGCGGCAGGAGAGGAGGGTTAGGAGGAAGTTCGGGGCTAATGGGGTGGCCCTTGGGGCGGATGATGGGGTCAAGGCGACGTTGGAGAAGGGGCGGAAACCGGCTGGGAAGCCCAGGGTTGCGGGGAGTGGGAGGGGCAGGGAGTTGCGGGCTGCTGCTGCTCTGGCGAGGTTCGCGGTTAAGGAGGAGGAGCCACGGATTAAAGATGAGGAGTTGGTGACGGATAGCGAGGCGGAGAGTGACGTGGAGGATGATGATGTTGTTAAGATCAAGCCGGAGCCGGATGATGCTATTGATATCAACGGGCAGCGACTCACCGACAGCAATGGACGTGGGATGGTTAAGGTGTGCGAAGATGAGGATAAGGACGGTGATGATGCGAAGAGGGAATTGCTCGAACTGCAGAGTATTCCCGGAAGTTCTCAGCGGTACTTTCCTAAGGATTCTACGAAGCCGAAGCCAGGCCCGAAACCACCGAACTCTGCACCCAAATTGACGAAGAAATTGCCGACCTCTACCTCCAAAGTCACGAAACCAGACCAAAATTTAACGCCAAATCAACCCTTATCAACGCGGAAGAAATCTCCGACGAAACACAGTCCGGAAGCCGCCGCTACGACATCAACGATACCTGATGAGTCTTGTCCTGTCTGTTCTGTAATCAACGACGCCCAAGCCTTAACCTGTACGGTCTGCGCCAACGTCTTAAAGCTCGAGTTCGTCGCGCATCCCTGGCGATGCAAGAGCTCTATCTGTACAGACGGCGTCTACCTGAACGCTGGAGACGTGGGGATATGTGGCGTTTGTGGGGAGCGCAGCAAGCTTCAGGTAAAGCAAGGTAGGTAGGACTATCGGAAGTGCTCCAATGATAGATGGTACCACCATTTTGGCGTTAGGAGTTGACACTTGGCCGGCCTACCTCGGTATCTTACAGATCATGTAAGCAATCATGTTAATCACTTCTCACCAGGCAGCTTTTTTTTTCTCAGTTATTTCGTGCGACTGGTGGGACGTATCGGCCGTTTAGCTCCTCGCGCTGCAGTCGGCGCCTGGCTGAGGCACATGGGCGACTCGATGCGACCGGATTTAGTTGATTCTCGCAGACGAAAAACAAATGCCCCCTGCTGGCTCGATTTCTTTCGTTTACGTCTATCGGCTACGTTGAAGGCGGCTTACTGGATGATATTTCTCTGTTGAATTTGATTCGTGTGTTTTTTAGAATGGATTAGATTGGCTCTGCCGAAATTTGTGTTAGATGAATGGCCGGAAGGGGTTTGGTCCTGCTCGCCTAACCAATATCAAAATGTCAAAACCTCTCCTCTGCTTTGTTTGGATCGTCTTCAGATTAAGCACCTCCTAAGCAACTATCAAGCACCTGACAAGCATCTGTCAAGCACTGCCCCCTTTCCAGGGATGGGAAAGGGATTTATTCCATCAGATCAATCATCATACGACTGACTACCAAAGCAAGCAGCCCTATGATTCGACAAAGACGCACCACCTTATCTCTTCTGTCAATAAAATCGCGCAAAAGAGCCGCCTCTTTAAATTTTGCTTCCAGAGCGCTGGAGCCTGTATCCTGAGCCCACCGTCACACCTGCTGACCGGGAGCTCCAAGTGGCTTGCAGCTCTTCTCCTGAACAGCTTTGATTGGGGTCTGGTTGCCATGCCTGCGCTTAACAACGACTTGCTTGCCTCGAAGTCGGAATGCGGGTGAAGGTAGATTTCCGACTCTGCTTAAGATCATCCCATGCTCTCCCTCTATTCCCACTACCCACCAGAAACGTTGGCTACTCTACGTTATTTGCTGTTACAGACCACCTGGCTTTCTAGACCTAGACAGCGCCTCGTCTTGGTTTTGACAGCCGCTTTCCAAGTCAGGTTCCTCGTTATAGAGCCTCTAGATCTCTCAAACTGTTTCGTGGTATGGCTACGATACGAATTGCAGATGCTATCCACCCAATAAGAACGACTGATGGGGTAAGTTGTATCTCACTTGCTGTTGTCTTACTCGCGGGAGACAGCGTCCAGCCTTGTCTGTCTGATACCTCTTGAAATTGAAGGAATAACCGCACGTACTGACCGATCCATAGACGAGCAGCGCCCACGTGGGCGGTGTCTATCCCATCAGAGACGACGGCGTCCCTTCTATCGATCTTCGAAAGACAAGGTCTCGTTCGGTTGAGAGGCGTGGGGTGAAGATCATCGACCACGAACCTGACGAAGACGGCGAGGGACTTCGTCGAGATGGTGATTTCAAGCAGAAACAGGTATTGAAGGGCTTGGGAGTACTCTAGCCATCCCGTCTGGCGTCCGCTTCTGACATACATCCAGGTCTTCAAAGGGAAATATCTCTTATGGCTGGCATACCAGAGTATTGGCGTAAGTACACCAGCTCCTTCTCTATCTAGGACAGAACTAAAGCAATGTACAGGTCATCTATGGTGACATTGGCACCAGGTATTTTTTTACCCGCAGTGTAGGTTTCCAACAGTACAGTAACGATATTATGCAGTCCTCTTTATGTCTACTCTTCTACTTTTGGCGACGAGCCCTCATATCAGGACCTCCTCGGTGTCCTTTCGATTATAATATGGTCTATTACTTTGATGGTCACGGTAAAAGCCCGACCCCCCTTCTCTCGGGAAATAGTAGCTCGGCTGTATTGATAACCTGCTAACCTGCTAGGTCAAATATGTCCTCATCATCCTTTGGGCTGACAATGAAGGGGAAGGGGGAACTTTCAGTACCTACTCTCTGCTTTCTCGATTTGTGAGTAGTACGAAGCAGCAGCAGCTTGCCAGGCGCTCTTCCCAGCTGACTGATACGAAGGCAAACATCACGAAGCGTGATCCGCGCGAAGCCTCGCTCATCAAGATGGAACGATACGTTACGGGGGATATTGAAGGGGCTAATCTGCGAGTCCGTTCCCGGATAGAAAACAGCAAGTTCGCACGAGGTCTTCTTAAGACTATTGGTGTGGTCGCAGTGTAGGTCGATTTCGGGCTCTACAGGACTTCCAACTTTCTTGTCTATCAAACTTAAATGTTCAAATGGAATATCCAGAACTGACTGTCCTCAGCTCCATGGTGTGTGCCGACGGTGTGCTAACCCCAGCACAGTCTGTTCTTGGAGCTGTGCAAGGTCTCAGCGTCGTCAAACCCGACATTGAGAAAGCGACCATCGTTGGTACCGCCTGCGGGATCTTGATCGTCTTGTTCCTCATCCAACCCTTCGGAACAACAAAACTGGCAACAACCTTCGCTCCAATCGTGATAATCTGGCTCAGCTTCAACGCCGGTTTCGGGATCTACAACCTCGTCCAATTCGACCACTCCGTCTTGAAGGCTTTCTCGCCTGGCTTTGCATTCGAATTCATGAGGCGCAGCAAGACGGACGGCTGGCGCAAGCTCGGTGGGATTCTCCTGGCCTTCACGGGAGTTGAGGCACTCTTTGCAGATCTGGGTGCTTTCAGCCGCAGAGCTATCCAGATCTCTTGGTTGGGCTATGCTTTCCCCTGTCTCCTCTTGGCATATGTTGGTCAGGCCGCATACATAAGTGCGCACGAGGGTGCTTACAAGAACCCATTCTTTGATACGGTGCCGCCTGGGATGCTGTATCCCAGTCTTGTGGTAGCTATCTTGGCAGCCGTTGTTGCATCTCAAGCCATGATTACGGCGACATTCCAGGTGAGCTAGTGTCTGATCCTAGGTGTTTGTGATGCTGACAGTATGAAAGCTGCTTTCACAGGTCATGAAGTTGTCATACTTTCCGCAGATCAAGGTCGTCCACACATCCGAGATCTTCCATGGTCAAGGTCAATCAGCACTGCTCATTGTCCGAATTGTGATACTGACATTGATGCTAGTATATATACCCCTTATAAACTGGCTTCTCATGATCGGGACCGTGGTGGCTGCTGCAGTTTACAATAACGTGAGTTTCATGCGGTCTCACAGATCTATCTAGTTAGAAGAAGCTAACCTTGCACAAGACTACATCCCTCGGAAATGCGTATGGGTAAAGAAGACACTCTCACAATTTTTCATTGTTCGGTACTGACCGATCTCATACAGAGTCTGTGTTATGTTCGTCACGTTCTTCGACTCTTGCATGGTCTCTCTTGCAGCGCTGATCGTCTGGAGACTTCCGTACTACGTGGTATTTATATCCTGGCTCATCTTTGCCTGCCTCGACGGTCTCTACCTCTCCGCAGCCCTGGTCAAAGTTCCGCAGGGCGCATGGTTCACTCTTCTACTATCAGGCATCATCACATCCCTCTTGATCCTCTGGCGATTCGGCAAAGAGCAGCAATGGCAAGCCGAAGCCGAAGATCGGTTCCCTACCACCCATATCGTCGAGCAGGGAGATAACGGAGCTCCTAAGCTCACCCCGCTCTACGGCGGTGACAACCTGAGCACCATCAAGGGGTTTGGCATCTTCCTTGACAAGGCCGGCGAGACTACGCCGTTGATCTTCTCTCAGTTCATCAGCAAATTAGTTGCTGCGCCCGAGGTAAGATGCGCCTATCCACAAGCGAGAGAGAGAGAGAGAGAGAGAAAGTAAACAGGAGATAAATTGAATCCCGACTCGGTTAACACAAACAAAAAGGTCATGGTATTCTTCCACCTGCGACCGCTGGAAACACCGTCCGTCGCACCCGAGAACCGCTACACCGTCACGCGAATCGCCATCCCCAACTGCTACCGGCTCGTGGTCCGCCACGGCTACATGGACGAAGTCATCACGCCCGACCTCGCCTCCCTGGTCTGCGAACAGATCCGGAACTTTATCGTCGACAGCTGCCAGGGCGGCGTCTCGGTCCAGCACCCGGACCGGCCCCCGTCGCACGCGCACCCATCTCCTCTTCGCGGCCGCCACACCTTTCCACCCCCCCTCCGCCGCCATGACGAGAAGGGCTCCTCCCCCTCCTCCGCCTCCGCCTCCGAGTCGCGCGTGGTGGTGGTGGCTTCGACCGAGGAGACGATCGCGGCCGACCTGGCTAAACTGCAGCACGCTTTCGATCGGCAGGTCTTGTACATCATTGGCAAGGAACAGATGCGGATCAAGAACGGGACAGGCTTCGTGAGGAAGATGTTGCTGTGAGTCTTTGTCTTTTGATTTTCTTTCTTTGTCTCTCTCTTTCTCTTTCGCTGTTCCGATCCGCGCTCATTCGTGGCGGCTACTTCGTAGTAGACTTCCCCCCCTCTCCCCCCCTATTTCTGAATACAGAACTGAAAAGGAACTGATTTTTTTTGGGTGCAGTACTGCGTTCTTATGGCTGAGGGAAAATACCCGCTCCAAGATTGCGAACTTGCGAGTCCAGCCGGATCGGGTGATTGAGGTTGGGTTCGTCAAGGACGTGTGAGGAGAGCTGGGCTGATCGATCGATCGTGGGGGGGGGGGGGTTGTTCCTTGGTGGTATTCTGGAGTATTAGCATAGCAGCATAAATATTTGTTACATATATAAGTATATATAAGTATATACATAGATAAGTAAACAAACCCATATCAACATCACGCATTCTCTCCGGCCGAGCGAGGACGTGGAGCGAGGAGGTTGCGGGCGAGCGCGCAAGAGAAGAAATTGGAAAAGCGTTCAAAAGTCCGAATCACCTACCTATCTAAAAAAGAATCAAGTTCTCGAGAGAAAGAAAGAAAGAAAAGCCAAAAGGCGGCGCGACCTTTTACTGACCTGAAAATTTGAATACTGTGTTATGCAGCTACGAAAGGGAATCGATCCCGATACGATTTCCAAAGCTCGGAATCATACCTGCTACGCATGAATCGTTCGGTTCTCCTGAACATGATCCGCGAGAAATGGAGCCGACAAGCGGGGGCACGTCGGGATCACCCACGGCGGGAAGGGATAGGGCCGGTACCCGGTCCAAGCCCACTTGTCAAACAACTACTACGTACTAATCGTCGGTTACCTTGAATTTCATCTGTAAAAAATCCCGCCAGGTCGGCACCACCAAGGCGGGCGGGACAGTAAAATTAGCTCCTCTGTAATAAATAAAAAATCAACCAACAACTATTATATAATAATCATCTCTGTATGAGAAGATGCGCCGTACTGAGTTTGATATGAATCAATGAATTGAAATTTTCATTACAAGTGGTTTATTCCTTTATCGTGTTGAGTTAAAGTAATCAAAATCGTACTTTTGGTGTATCCTTTTCGATTTTAGTAATGCGTACCTAAGGTTACCATAAAGGGTAGTAGGGGGTCATTTGAGCGGTCCTCTGACCCTCTTTTATAAGAGACGGCCATTGGACCGCTTAAATTCAGTACTAAGCTCTTTTCAAGAATAGTTTATAGAAAAGACCGTCCCATTGAAAGAGACCGTTTTGTGGCCGTCCTACAGCCGTCCTCGTCTATATTTTTAAAGCAGGCTTATTAATAAGCTCGTTTTAAAAAATTGAAATAGTTCGATGACTATTTTAAAGAAGGTATAGTTATAGATAAAAATGATCTTTTAAATAAAATTGTTTAAATAATAATTTAAAAAGTTCGACGCCAAGATATTTCTCGGTATCGCTGCTACGGCTTATATATCAACGCTTTAATTTTTTTATAATCGAAATCGATCGATTTAGCAAAAGTTTACCCGCATACAATGGCCGCCCTTGCAGCCTACGCGAGGAGGGGGTAGTGATATAAGGGGGGAGTGGTATAATAGGGGAGTGTAGTAAGTGGTTAAGGTAGTGAAGAGTAGATTAGCAAGCATTAAAAGGGTATTTGCTTACTAATTCAAGTTCTCAGGGACGGTTTTAAGCTCAGGGACGGCCATGGGACGGCCATAGGACGGTCTTAAAACGCTCGAAGACGGTCCTAAGACGGTTTTTATATGAAAAGACGAGTATTTAAAAAAAACGATTTAATCGAATAAAATAGTTTTATTTTAGCTACGATTTAAATAATTTAAATCGTTTGTTTTCAAATTCTATTCAATCTTAAGTATAGGCCTAGGGTGATCCACCAGCCATGCCAACTTATTAAAATCGTCTCTAAAAGAGATGGTTATCGGACGATCAGCTGACCGTCTAAATGCTCCTGCATTCCCCTTTAAGGTAAGGTACCTTTATTAGAATTGCCGCGTATATATTAAAATAAGCGAGGAACCCGAAAATCGGACTTTGATTCAAATCTACTACTATCAAAAAAATACGTGCATCACTACCAACTTTAATTCAATCATGAATACCTGTAGTAGTATAACATATCAAATCATTTATTTCCGATCTACGTGACGTTTTTTTTTCAATTCAGGTTGTGGTTATTGAGATATCTGCAAGAAACAAATAAATTTGAATTATGTAGGACAGTTTTTGACCATTTTTTTCACTACATTTCTATGTATTAGATTACTACAAATCGATGCATTTGTATAATTTTAACTCACGTTTGTAAAGCAAAATTTTCGAAGCATATACAGACTTTTCTTTTCTTTTTTTATCATGATCGTTGTGGTTTAATAAGTGGTGTACCGTTACTGTCCCGCCTTGGTGGTGCCGACCTGGCGGGGATTTTCTACAAATGAAATTCAAGGTAACCCAACCAACCGATGATTACCTACCGTACCTACTCACACAAATCAAATCAAATCAAAAAAAAAAAGATTAAATTAAATTAAATTAAATTAAAACCTAGACATGCTTCGAAAAAAGAAAATTCGCCTGACGAACGCGGATCATACTACCGATAGTAGATGTTTAAAAAAAAAATGCATTCCTCTTCTCGCGAGCCACCACGTCAACAAGTACGCGGTGGAACCATCGACGATACCTACCTAAGGTATGTACCGGTAGTGCGAGAGCCATCCCGGATACATGTACCTGTACCTACTATACTACCGGTATATGTTACTTACCTTACTTACCGGTACCTATCCGCTTCGCATCCCGCACCTCCCTCCCTCCACAGCCCGAACCTCGAGCGAGCGAGCGAGCGAGCGAGCGCGAGAGAAAAGGTCCTATGCATCGAGAGAGAGAGAGAGGATGAACGATCGCGCATACATATATACATACATATATACATACCACACCACACTATACTATACCATACCGCACCACACCACACCACAAAACAAAACCAAAAACAACCCACCCAAGAAAAGCCAGCAGTGACGCACGTATATAGGTACACCGGTATCTCTCGACGGGGCTCTTCTTTTCTTTTCTTCTTTTCTTTTCTTTTCTGATGGAAAGTGCGTCCGTCTTTTTCGTGTTCGGCGCTTGTTTTATTTAGTAAGGTAAGGTAAGGTAAGGTAAGGTAAGGTAAGGTAAGGTAAGGTAAGTAAGTAGTATCTGGCTGGCTGGCTGGCTGGCTGGCTGGCACGGTCATCTTGATGGGTACTTGTAGGTATATATATATAGGTATATATGTATATGTATAGGTAGGTATGTATATGCCTACGCGGAGAGAAAAAAAAAAAGGAGTGCTGGTATGGTGAGTGTAGGGGGGGGAATGGGAAAGGGAAAGGGAATGGGAATGGGAATGGGAATGGCAAGAGCTCGTCGGGAGGGACATGTTAAGGATTTTTTTTTTTTTTTTGTTTTCGGATCCGTATATGCGGGAAGGCTTAAACCGAGAAATGATTTTTTTTGAATTTTTTGAATTTTTTTTTTTTTTGATTTTTTAGGGCTCGACTTGCTTGCATTCAGGGCTCGATACTGTACTGTACCCTTTCATCTTTTCTCGGGCTTGTTAGAGAAAAGCTCCGCCGAGGCGAGCTTTTCGTGAGGTCGAGAGGTGGATGTCGAGGGTTAGACTTTGGGTGAAAGTTTACGTCCTTTCTCTTGCGCGTTAGGTAGGTACGTAGTACCTGTTCGTCTTCGACACTCGTTTGAATTTGCATTCGAAGGTATTATTAAGGTAGTATCCAGTCGATTCGTAAAAAAAAGAAGAAAAAAGAAAGAAAGAGAAAAGATTACAGCTGAGGGCCTGTTGGCGCTGAAGAGATCGATCTGGGAAACGAACGGTACTACTACTACTACTACGTATGTGAACCCTTAGCTTTGCACGTCTCCGTACCCCTTGGAAGGGCCTAGATCGAGGCGCGCATGCTAGGTACGTACTACAGTACCTACGCTCAGAGTCCCCTAGACGGTAAGCAAGAAAACAAAAAGTGACAACTCTATTCGACGATGGCTTTTTATCTTTTTGCGACGCGGAAGCTATGAGAGCTTAAAAAAAGCTTCGAACGAATAATGCGCCTTTGCTACGTAGAAGTATAGTACGTATGGAGTGGCGGAACGGAGTTGGTGATGACTGGATCGCCGGTAGCGAACGCCCTCATCGTCTAACTAGCGTGCAGCGCACGCAGTTTTCTTGCAGGTGCAACCTTTCTCGGTGGAAATGCTATCCGGTTTCTGCCTGCGCCCCAAGGTTCGGAGGAATGGGATTCCTTCTGTACGACTAGAAGGAATCACGCGGATTAGAGTAGTACTACGTACTAGGTAGTAGTAGTGTTTACAAGGTAGTTGGGGGCCCCTGAGGGTATGCCAGGCTAAGCGAGGCATGCTCACTCCGGAAGCGAGCTAGCCGAGCCGGGTCGATGTTGATGTACCAACAGTATACTTTTTTTTTTACATAATTTATTTTCTGTTCACGAGGGGTCTTTTTCTGATGATAATCTTATCTCACTCGTGGAAAAAAAAGGAAGGGCGCAAACGATAGTCGCTCTTATTGCACCACTGTGAATTGCTTTCGAAAGCTATTTTGTATATCCGTAGTACCCACGGTACAGGCGTAAGTACGGTATTACTATCCCCCCCCATGAATAAATGTCGGACCCAGTTTAGGCCCATAAATCATAGAGCGGTGGTTTCTTAATGGCTCAAAGCCCTGCCAACTCCACTGTATAGGCTAAATACTGGCTCAAAGATACTTTTCAAAGCTGAATCCTTAGGAGTTGATTGGTTTAAGCCCTAGTAAGATTCCTTGCGAAATTATACTTTCGACATTTATTCATGGGGGGGGATAGTACCCCTCGAGCGTGCCTCAAAAGTGTAGTCTCCACTTTAAAGCCCCTGGTTACTTTACCCTCGAGGGGTAATACTCACGCCTGTACCGTGGTACTTACGCCTGGGACGTACTACGTAGTACAACTAACTTTTTAGGTTAGCACGTCGCCGTCTCTGAAGAAAGGTCTTAAGGCGGCACGCTCCGCCTGCTACCCGCTCGACGTTAATACTACGACGTAAATACAACAATAACAACTACCCACGGTACAGGCCTAAGTGTTACCGCCTGAGGGGAGGTTCTCCCTGTTTTTATCAGCTGTTGTTCGACCAGGCCGTAGACCACCCCTCCGCGGCGACTACGTCTCAACAACGCTGTCTTACGTAGTAGTATATCGACAGTTGGAATACCGGTACTGAAATGGAAAGAAAAGGTCGACAAAGCAGCGTTGGAATACCCATCGGCGATTAGAACTCAAACCCTGTTCGATACACTTTTGCTATATTCCCGATCCCATAGGGTGCTTCTCCGATTTCGACCCCCTCGAAAATCCTATTTCCCCTGGTACAGTACAGTACAGTACAGTACAGTAAAAACCCCTGTTGCGTACCCTCAGGGTGTAACAAGTACAGTACGCCTGTGGCGTTGTAGTAGTACTGCGTACTACTACGTAATTTGAATATGTATTTCTCATATGCTAGTACGTAGTCAAAGTGATGTAGCGTCAATGTCCCAAGCGTCGGAAAGCAAAGCAGCCTTTGACGTAGTAAGTAGGCACGCGACCGTTGCGAAGCCAAAGTCCCCGTGGCCCCGGAGCGCAGCGCAGCGCAGCGCAGCGGAAGGCCCGCCCGGGAATAGCCCGACCTCGTGCGTGAATAAATGTGATGCAAACCTTGATCACGACGACTTGGGACTTGGGACTTGGGACTTGGGACTTGGGACTTGGGACTTGGGACTTGGGGGATATTCCGTATTCCGCGCCCGTCTGACAATCCACAAGACGCCGTCCGTACTCGAGTACCGTACCGTACCGTACCGTACCGTACCGTACAGGACGTAGAGTTTCACGTACCCCGCCATCCGACATTCTTGAATTGCAAACCCGGCAATCCCGCGCTGCACCCGCAACGTGCAGGCATCCCAACCCGACTCATGAATGCGGAGTACATGGCGAAAAGTACTCTAAGCTGTGGCAAGGGCTCTTTAGCCAGGGCTTGAACCAGTCACCTTATAGGGATTCAGCCTTCTAAAAGTATCTTTGAGCAGGGACTACTCTCTAGTCTGTGCAATAGAAACGATTGTTAAGGCTGAACTGGGGTCCGTCTTTCAAACTATCTATCCTAATTTTTTTTTTTTTTTTTTTCTTGGATCCATCCCATCCCATCCCATCCCACCACCACCACCACCCGCACCCTCAGAGGCACGCATCCGACCCAAGTCCTCCTCTCGCTGGAGAGCGGCGTAGTTGTCTGTCTGTGTGGATGGAGACGCCTTGTGCTGACAAAATGCTTATAATGCCGATGTATAGCCACTCCGTACTACTTCGTGGCGAGAAAGATAACCCAAGGCTTTTTTGCCTCCTGCTCCCAGCGCGCTGCCGAAGGGCACTGAACTGGTGGGGGACCACATCCGGGGCCCTCATCCGCCAGGCGAGAACTGATTCAGCAGGAGGGGACGAGAGGGAAAAAATCCTTAAATAATCGTCGACGTCAGAGCGGGAGCTCGGAGAAAAAAGAGTCCCAACGTCCTCTTTCACCTCTCCCTCTCGGACCCAACCGCTCCATCTGAGTTCCTCTGATTCATTTACGTCATATTTCTAGAGACGAAACGGAGAAGCTGAAATCGAGAGGAGAGAGTTGTTATTTTTTGGGTTTATATATCATGGCTGCTGCTGCTACGAAGGATCCCAAGAGGGATTTTCATGTTGCTGTTTGTGGTGCGTACAGTATAATCCTTTTCTCTCTTTCTCTGTCTCTCTGTCTCTCTCTTTCTCTCTGTCTCTCTCTTTCTCCCTCTCCCTCTCCCTCTCCCTCTCTCTCTCACACCCACACACACATACACACGAACGACAAGAACAATAGCGACAACCATACCCATCTCTTCCTTCCCTTACCACCTTACCACCTTCCCTCCAAATCCACACATCCCCCCCCCCCCTCCCCCTCTTTCCTTCCCCCACACAGAACAACACCGAACCACACGCACAAACACACAGACTCACCAAACCCCAGGCGGCGGCATCGGCGGCCTCTGCATGGCCATCGGCCTCCTCCACCAGCAAGTCTCGTGCACGCTCTACGAGGCGGCGCCAGCCTTCGCCGAGATCGGCGCCGGCGTGTCCTTCGGCCCCAACGCCGTGCGCGCCATGAGCCTCATCGACCCGGCCATCAAGGCCGGCTACGACAAGATCGCCACCTCCAACACCGCGCCCGAGAAGAAGCAGTGCTGGTTCGACTTCTCCCTCGGCCACAAGGACGCCGCCTGCGGGGAGGCGGGCACGCCCGTTGCGGAGGTGGTGGCCGGGGAGGTTGGCCAGAGCGTGAGATCCCTTTTGTTTCTCCTTTTCCTTTTTCCTTTTTCCTTTTCCTATTTCCTTTTCCTTTCTCCCATCTCTCTCTCTCTCTCTCTCTCTCTCTCTCTCTCTTTCTTCCATCTTGTCATTCTTTTCGGAGCTGTTCCTTTTCGGTGCTTCAACCACATCCATACAATACATCCCCTCGCGCCCGACCCCTTCCCTTCCACTTCTCCGTCCTCCCTCTCGCTTCTTGCAGAAAACCACGCGCGGAGAGAAGATGTGCTTACTCAGGGGCCACACGTCCGCGCATATGCAGAGTGTGCATCGAGCCCACTTTCTAGATCAGCTGGTCCAGCTCGTCCCCGCGGGCGTGGCGCAGTTCGGCAAGCGGCTCAAGGACGTGGAGCAGGTCGGCGAGAAGATGAAGCTGACCTTCCATGACGGCACCACGGCCGAGGCCGACGCCGTCATCGGCTGTGACGGCATCAAGTCCCGCGCGCGGCACATCCTGCTCGGCAGGGACCACGAGGCCGCCAGCGCCAGGTTCACGGGCAAGTACGCCTACCGTGGCCTGATCCCCATGGAGAAGGCCGTGGACGCCCTGGGCCGGGACCTGGCCGGCAACAGCCAGATGTATATGGGCCGGCACGGCCACGTGCTGACGTTCCCGATCGAGGGCGGCAAGACCATGAACGTCGTGGCCTTCCAGTCCAAGGCGGATGGCAAGTGGGAGAATGAGAAGTGGGTCCTGCCCATGAAGAAGGAGGACATGTTCCGCGATTTCGAGGGCTGGGGCGAAAGCGTGCAACGGATTCTCTCGGTCAGTGACCATAAAAACTTCTTTTTTGCATGATGACTTTTTTTTTTTTTTTAATGTACAAGGTATTGATATCAGGTGACACAGTTGATGGAGAAGCCAGACGTGTGGGCCCTCTTCGATCACCCCCCAGCACCTACCTACTTCAAGGGACGGCTGGCAATCCTCGGGGACGCCGCGCACGCCTCGACCCCGCACCAGGGTGCGGGCGCCGGACAAGCCATCGAGGACGCCTTCGTGATGTCCAACCTGCTCGGCCAGGTCAAGTCGGTGGACGAGATTGAGAAAGCCTTCTACGCATATGACGCCGTCCGCCGGCCGAGGAGTCAGAAGGTGGTGACGACCTCCCGGGAGGCGGCAGCGCTGTACGAGTTCGAGGACGAGAGCATGGGCACGGATTTGGAAAAGATTCGGAAGCGTCTGCTGGAACGCTACGACTGGATCTGGAACGAGGATCTACCTCAGCAGTTGAAGAAAGCGCAGGATCTCATGGGCCTGAAGGCGAACTTGTAGTAGAAGTAGAACTTGCAGTAGGGTTTTCGGTAGCGAGGAGGATATTAGTCAATCGTGTCGTCTCGGAGCGCGAAGAGCTCTTTCATGACCTGCTCGTTTTTGCTGCGCACTGCATCGTGGTACATGACATTTGTGATGAATCTGTGGGAAGTCAATACTAACATTGTGCAACCATAACCGAGTTGTCTGCATTTTGCTCGCGGCACTTACTGCTTGCAGTTCTTCACCAGCTTGGCGGTCTGTTGGGCGAGGTCATAGTCAACATACATATCGTCAACATAAGTTGCCGCATACAGCGGGACGTCGTTCCGAGCCAGCTATAGACAAACCCACCATGTCAATAAGTAAGCGGTTCAGCTGGTTTCGAACAAAATCGCAAGTCGACAAATCACTTCACCTACCTGCCATTGATCATACAGCGGAGGCCAGTCGGCGCACTTGGCAATCAGATGCGCGACCGGGGCCAGCTTCTCCAGCTCGGGGAAGATCTCAAACAGGAACGGGTAGATCATCTCGCCCGAGAAGAACAGCGGTGCCTCTCGCACGGACGTCGGCGACTGGGGTGATTGGGACAGCCACTGGTACTCGCGCAGGGTCTTGCCCACGCGCTCGGCGGCCCAGTTGCTCGCCTGGTTCTCGCAGTAGATGGCTTCGTGGAGCACGGCGTACAGCACGTTGTAGTCGAAGCTGATTGCGGTTTCCAGCGCCGAGAGGGTGCTGTGTGGTGTTAGTACCTAGGCTTCGATCCTGGGGATGGGGGAAAGCTCTGGGGAGGGTGAGATTCACGGTCGGGTGACGAATTGAAATTGCTCCAGGTCTGTCTTCATCCTGAGCACCAGATCGTGTACTGTGTCGAGGCCGCCGTGGGCACCGAACATTCTGCCCAGCGTCAGGAATCCTCGGACGGTGAGCACACCACCGGATGGGACTGCGAGGTACCGAAGAGTCAGTCATTGCCCAAGAAAGGTTTCAGGCAGACGAGTAGACGTCCACAGGGGGGCTGGGATGGTGACGAGTAGGAAGAAGTGGGATTCCCCAGTACCTACGCTGGAGACCTCCTTTGCTCTTGATATGGAAGGCGAGGCCGTGGACCGCATCGACGTCTTCTGGATACTTTTTGTAGTATACCTAGTAAAATCTGGTCAGAGGCATTTCTAGGATTACCCAGGAGAGTGCTGACCTTGTTTCTCTCTATTACTTTCTTGAATGTAGCTTGGTAGACTTGCTCTGGCGACTGACCGATCGGCGCTAGGCCTCCCGCAGTAAAAGCCTCGCGTAGTCCACTAGGGTATTTGGAGAGGTAGCTAGGGGCATATCAGCAATCAGATCAATCGTTTCTCCTAGGCAGAGGAGAGATTCCGGGTATCTGACACGACACGGAACAACGTGAAGAGACAGCCGCTCTAATTTACTTACGTGAGAACACAAAAGCCACCGAACGACTGGCCAAATACGGACCTCAGATTTGTCAACACAACAGAATACTCCATCCCATGAGGGGGCATTGCGTACCACTTCTTCAGCTCAGCCGGGTAGTCCTCGGTCAGCGTCTTCCTGATGGCCTCGCAATCCTTGACAATACTATCAGCCCGAAACAGCTTCAAGTAATCCGCCTGTCTATACACATCACCCTGCAAACCAAGTGTCGCCGCCGAGATAGGCGTGCTAAGTCCAGTGCCTCGCTGATCCAAGTACAGCATCTGGTATCCACGCTCAAGGACGGCGTTGGTGATGGGCGACATCTGAGGAGGCGAGCATGGGAAGCCGGGACCGCCTTGTAGGTAGACGAACCATGGTTTTTGGGATCTGGGGTTCGTCAGACGATGATTTGGTAGGTGTAGTAGGGTGGTGCATGGAGGGCAAAGCTGCCTACTTCTTGCGCCGCTCCTCCTCGGAGATGGGGACGGCGGGTTTCTCGGTCTTGGAGACGGAGCGGGCGAAGAGCTGGATGGTGCCTCGATCTGGGTTTGAGTAATCTTTGGGGACTTCAAAGAAGAGTTCGGATACAGTGAGCCTTCCTGTCGTGAGGTGTTAGTCAAGTTTTATCTCTCCACGTAAATCAGGGACCAGAAAACTCATAATTCCGGCCAACGCTACACGATGAAGAGAAACTATGTATAGAGAGAACCATATGAAAAAGCCAACAACTTCTTCACATCTATCCCTGGTTACTTTTATGTGGGCTTGCTTCTCTCGCGGCTGATCACCTGACTGGCATACCTGGTATAAGATGAGCCTTCGACTCTATGATCTTTGCGAAAGCCATTTTGGAGAGCAGTGGTTTGCAAGCGCAGCTGTTGCAGTTGCCGGGCAAGATGTGAGGTTCTGCGAGATGGAGTTGTCGTGGATGAGTTGCTAGTAAGGAAAGCGATAACGTATTAAAGGTGGGGGAGAGATCGAGAGTCTTGGAAAGCCCGAGCACTTACTTCGGCTCGCTTCTCCGTACATATTATCGCACTCACCACCACGTCCGGGCAACAGCATTTGGCGAACATTTGCAAAGAGATCAAAGCAATCGTTCTAGGCCTTGAATTCCTGTTGTGATTCTATTATCAGGTAACAGCTCTATTGCTTTACGATGTTGGTGTTGGCCCGTGCTTGGCTTTATTCCAGAATTTTTTCTTCCCGAGACGAGACGGGACCTTGAGCTTTTCAAAAACAAGTCAAGTGGCTTTCATAACAGCCCCCTCCCCTAACCCCAACGTCTTACAACCGCTTTTCCATTAAATATTAGCTAACACTAGTCAGAACCCATCGGCTATATCCCAAGGCTCGGAGGGCCTGCTCGTAAAAAGTCCTAGTCACGTGAATATATACAAAACATTTACATATATATAGGTATATATCTTCCACTTGCTAGCCTAGCTATCCACGTGAGCCCGGCCAACACCACCAGTCAACAAAAACACTCAAAGGTCCCGATTTCCCAAGTACAACTACGTTGTATTATCCTACCCTACCTAGCCAGCATGGCGAAAGACAAGAAAGGCGGCAGCGAAGGCAAAAAAGCCAAGAAGGCCGAGAAGAAGCTCAAGCAGGAGAAGAAGGGCGAGAAGAAGGAGAAGATCAAGTCCTCCAAAGCCGCCGCCGCCGGCGGGGACAGCGACGCCGAGGACGTCGACCTGGACGCCGTGCTGGCCGAGTACGCCCGGAAGCAGGAGCAGTTCCTCAAGGTCACCGAGGCGCCCTGCGATCCGCCTCGCGCTCGAGCGTCGTCTTCGTTTATAGCAAGTCCCGCGAATGAGAATGAGCTGTTCCTGTTTGGCGGCGAGTACTTCAATGGGGCGCTCGCGACTTTCTTTAACGATCTGTATGTGTATAATATCGGCAGAGATGAGTGGCGGGTGGTGACGAGCCCGAATTCACCGCTGCCAAGGAGCGGGCATGCCTGGTGTCGCGGGGGCAATGATAAGGGCATTTATCTCTTTGGCGGGGAGTTCAGTAGCCCGAAACAGGGAACCTTCTATCACTATAACGATGTGGGTTTGCACTGATCAAGCCCAGATATGGTTCATGCTGATGGATGTAGTTCTGGCGTCTCGAGCCTTCAAATCGGGAGTGGGCACGTCTAGAGACCAAAGGCAAGTCGCCCCCGGCTCGTAGCGGTCACCGCATGGTCTACTTCAAAAAGTACATCATTCTGTTCGGCGGTTTTCAAGACACTTCCCAGACTACCAAGTACCTGGCCGACCTCTGGATCTACGACACACAGTCCTTCGTGTGGCACAACCCTGTCTTGCCCCTCGCAACGCAGAAGCCAGATGCGCGATCCTCGTTCTCGTTCCTGCCGCATGAATCTGGCGCAGTGCTGTATGGTGGGTACTCGCGAGTCAAGACGACAGTGACGGGGAAGCAAATGAAAGGGGGTGGGCAGGCACAGCGGAACGTGCTGAAGCCTATGGTGCACGAGGACTGCTGGTTTCTGCGCATCGTGCCACCAGCTGCTGATTCTGCGGCTAACGCGCTGCCGACGGTGCGCTGGGAGCGCAGGAAGAAACCGGCGAATGGGCCAAATCCAACGAGAGCTGGATCGACCATGGCATACCATAGGGGGCGCGGTATCGCTTTTGGAGGCGTGCATGATGTGGAAGAGAGCGAGGAAGGGATCGATAGCGAGTTCTTCAATACGCTGTTCGCGTGGAACATTGAGCGCAATCGATACTTTCCTCTCGCGCTGAGAAAGGTACGGGCACAGCGGAAGCAGCCAGACAATGTTCGCGGGGGGAGGCGCGGACGGGGCCAAGCCAACGAGGACGAGCTTCTCCGGAACCTTGCCGCGCTCCAGACGGGGAAACCGCTCGACTTCTCCGACGAGATGGATGTCGAGAAGCCCAGGGAGGAAGAGGGAGAGAGCGAGTTACCGGTCAAGGAGGTCCTGATGGAATTCCCGCACCCGCGATTCAACGCTCAACTCACGGTCCAAGACGACGTCCTGTACATCTACGGCGGCACCTTCGAGAAAGGAGACCGCGAGTTCACATTCGACGAGATGTACGCCGTTGACCTCGGAAAGCTGGACGGCGTGAAGCAGATCTTCCGGCGGGAGCCCGAGCACTGGGAAGGCAGCGACGACGGGGACAGCGACGAGGACGAGGATGACGACTACGAGGACGACGAGGACGACGAGGACGAGGACGAGGAGGGTGAGCTGGCTGCAGACGAGGACGGAGACGGCAACGTCCCGATGCACGACGCCAAACCGCTGCTGCACACGGAAAGCACGCGCAAGTCCAAGAAACAACGCAAGGACACGCTCCTCCTCGCCGCGGCGGACCCGCTCGGCGACACGTCCCCCTCTCCCTCGCGCTCCACGCTGTCGCCGGCCTCATCCGCATCCCCATCGTCCACCTTCGACGACACGCCCGACACGGCATCTCCGACGACCTTCCCCGACGACAACCTGCCGCACCCGCGCCCCTTCGAGAGCCGCCGGGACTTCTTCCAGCGCAGCGGCAACGAGTGGCAGGAGGCGCTGATGACGTCCCTGCGCTGGAAGGGCATCCAGCCCGAGACGCTCAGCGTCAAGGAGATCAAGACGCGGGCCTTTGAAATGAGCGAGGCGCAGTGGTGGGACTGCCGCGAGGAGATCACCGCGCTGGAGGACGAGCAGGAGGCCGCCGGTATTGGCGAGGTGGTGACGCTGGCGGAGCGCGGGGAGGGTGGTGCCGCTGCTGCTGCTGGGGGCGCGGGGAGGAGACGGTGAGGAGACGGTGAGGAAGCGGTGAGGGATGAATGGGAACGCACTGGGACAGCGCCGTTTGTGGAAGGTGGGGCGAAAAGAAAAGAAGAAGAAAAAACGCTGTTTTCGCGTAATGGAAATTCTCGATTTAAGCGAGCCCCTCAAGATCAATAGAGCAAGAGTGGAATCACTCATCACTTTTCGACGCTCGTCTATTTCCCATCTCCCATTCCCCATCTCCACATAGCTCTATATACCTTAATAAGGATGTGTATGGCTCGCAGTTGCACGTTCCAAGGCCTGTATGGCTCGCAACTAGCAAATTGACTATCAATTTGCAACTTATGATTTTATTTTTTTTTGATTTTTTTTCCAATCCGTTACAACTACTAATTATTTTTCGTAATAAACTCAACATCAACACCTCCACTTCACCATGCCGATTCCTCTAAACTCGAGCTTTTCTCATCACCGAGGCTCCCCTCGCGAGTCGTCTTCTTAAATCTAAGCCTGCCACAAAAAAAAAAAAAAAAAAAAAAAAAAAACCTTAACCAAGGAGCCTACTGCACAAGAGAGAAAAAAAAGGCGCGCGCGCTGTTGACGATACTCCTTACCCCCTTTTCGGCTTCTACGACCCCTTCAGCTTCCAAACGCCGTAAAACAAGCAAGAAAAAAAAACAAAAAAAAAAACGGAAGTGTATGTGGCGCAATACGGATAATGTCGATACGATGCTTGAAGCTCTCTCGCAAGCGAAAGATGATGAGAAGGTGATGATGACGGGAGAAGGTGGCTTTAAAAAAAGCCCGGTTTGACACTTCGTTGCTCGGGCAATTAGTGATTCTTTAAAAAAGACGCTCGAGTTCGCTCTCTTTGTAAAAGGATGAAGAGGTGATCAGAATAAGCGGAAAAGAAAAGAAGGGGGGGGGGGATAGCTTGCCGCTTGAGCTTGCAACTTGGGAGTTGGAGCTTTTGGCTGCAACTTCGATTTGTATGGTGCAAGTGCAGTTGCGAGGTCGGATGCACACCTTGCGAGATTTACGCGCACGGGCCATACAGATGTGGCTCGATTCTTGCATCTCGACGTGCGAGTTGGAGATGCAAGAATATTTTTTGTCGGTGCCACTTGGCTTGCATCTGCGAGCCAGACAGGCTCTAATTACATGCAACCCGCTCACGCACTCAAACTCAACTCGGCATGCAATCCAAAACCATCATCTCTCCATCTCTCAAATTCCCTAATCCCGAAATACCCTAGGGAGGTACTTTCCCATACGAAAAAGTACTTATACATATATATATAAACAAAAAAAGGAGAGAGAGAGATATATATATATATATAATATACAGCCATCTAATCACAGGCTCATCCAAGCCCTGCACACCTGGGAATAAATACAATACAAGACTATATCATACAAATGCCCAATCCTACAATCCGTATGCATACCATACATACCCCAGAATAAAACAAGTTATACTCTCTCTCTCTACCTACCTACTGTACAACCAAATCGTCATGCGTCGTCGTCGACTCTCCATCTCACTTACACATCATACATCCCCATCTTCCAACACCCTCCTGGCAGCAGCAATAGCAGTCTCCGGGAGGCCAGCCAAGCGCGCAACCTTCAGCGCGTGGCTCCGTTTGTTGACGCCCTCTCTCAGCCGATGGATATACCGGAATCCCGCGCCCACCTCGTCCTCGTGCACATCCGTGCACCAAAACCCTACATCCTTCTTCATGCCTCCAGTCCCATCCGCTTTCCCCTCCCTCCTTTTCTCTTCCTCGCCCTCCCTCTCCACCCTCTCGGCCAATCCATGGAAATGCGTCGCAAAGAGCGTCCTGCACCCATTCACCTCCCACAGGTGCCGCAGTACCGCAAACGCCACCGCCTCTCCATCCCGCGGCGTCGTGCCCCGCCCAATCTCATCCATGACCACGAAGCTCCGCCGCGTCGCCCCCCGGAGAATCGCCGCCGTCTCGAGCATCTCCACCATGAACGTGCTCTGATCCCTATACAGGTCATCCGCGCTGCCCACGCGCGAGAACAGGCGGTCCACGATGCCGAGCTCCGCGTACGCGGCCGGCACGTAGGACCCGACCTGCGCCAGGATGGTGATGAGCGCATTCTGTCGCAGGAAGGTCGACTTCCCGGCCATGTTTGGCCCGGTGATGAGCCAGATCTTCTGCGGCGTGCCGACGAAGCAGTCGTTGGTTACAAATGTCCTGCCTTCGACTTCTAATCCACCTTCGACCGTGGGGTGCCGACCGCCGACGATCTTGTGCGAGGTGCCGAGATTGAGGATCGGTCTCGTCCAGCGCTTTTCGGACGCGAGGGTGGCGAAGGAACATGCAATGTCGAGTTCGTCGAGAACGGCCGCGTTCCGCCGGAGCTTGACGATATTGCAAATTGTTTGCGAGCGCAGAGCGTGGAAGACACTGGTTTCTTCGGCGCGGATGTGTGTTTTACATTGGTCTATTCGTTGGCCTAAGGCGGTCCACTCCGGGTGATGGAAGGAGCGTGTGCTTTTGCTGGAGCTGACGCTGCGGACTTCGCCGAAGTCAAGCTTCGTGTCTTTGCCTTTGATATGACAGATGTGGCCGAGGCCGGGGCGGAATTGCAGAGTGAGTGTTGTGGCGCCAAGACGGTTGCAGAGGGATTCTGCTAGTGCTTGTTTTTCCGAAGTGAGGGAGACGATGTCTTGGTGTAGGCGTGTGAGTGTCGGGCTGGCGGCGGGCTTCATGATCCATGGTTCGTTGTCCTCGGAATAGTATTCGCGGATGCTGGTGGACTTCCTCTTAGAGGATGCTGATTTGGGTAGGATGGAAGCGTCTGAAGGGGAGCCTTCTGCGTCGACAATTGATTTGGCGAGAGCTTGCATCGTTCCCGCTTCGCCATCCTCGAGGCGGTGCTGTTGCATGATTCCTTCTTCGTCTATTGCCTCCCGGATGCGCGTTGCGAGGGCGCTGGGTTCCATGAGGTCGATACGGCTGGTCATTCCTTGAATGCAGGCATCTTCCCATGTGTCTTCAGACAGTGTTGCCACGATATCTTGCGTTGCGTAGACGGTGCTTGCTAAAGCTAGGAGATCGTCTGGGTCGCCTCGACCAAATGCAAATTTCTGGAGTAGACGATGAGAGTCGTGACTTCGTTTGAGGAGCGTCGTGATGCGTTCGCGAAGAAGTTCGTTCTTTAACATGTGCTGGACGAGGTCCAGTCTAGAATTGATTACATTTAACGAGGTTGACGGAGAGCCTGACATCTGTCTTAGCATTCGTGTCTTGACCTGATAGTGGAGAACCTACTTAGCCAGTTATCCAACAGCCTGGCACCGCCTTGAGTGACGGTTCGTCGAATCGTGTGCAACAGACTGCCCGTGCTGTTATCCTCCTTCATGGTCTTCTTGATCTCCAAAGCTCTCATAGTGTTCTTGTCAATACTCATCATGTCAAGCTGTCGAATCGGTGGCTGGAGCTTGACGTTCGAGCCCTGTAAGCGAGTCTCGACATATTGAAGCAGAGAACTTCCAGCAGCGACCTCCTCGGCTGTAAATTCGTCGATCTGCCCGATAGGGACAGACGATTCCAGCATTGGCTCCCAGTTGGCTATTCCCATGAGATGTGACGGACTGGTGTAAGCGATCAGATGGTGATGATCATCAGCCAAGACTTGAAATATACCATGATCTTTCGATGCTTGGAGGTCCTCGTCCAGGACAATCTCCGATGGACTTATGCGAGCCAGAAGCGACGGCAGAGATGAAAGCGTTGTGTATTGGGTAAAAAAATGCCCAGTTGAAAGATCTAGCCAAGCAAGGCCGGTGGGCAGATCGGGGACGCGGTTCGCTTCAAGCGCATCATCGCGAGAAGGCTCCGAACCAGACGAGCCCGTGACATGGATAGCAAGAATATAGTTATTGGTAAACGGGTCCATGAAGTTCTCATCAATCAGCGTCCCAGGAGTGATGATACGGGTAACCTTCCGATCATGCATCAATCCTCCGGCTTTGACCTTGCCAGAAGCATCATTTGGGAACTCCTCTGCAATAGCAACGTACTTGCTTAAGTCTTTGACGAGGATTTTGAGATATCTTTCCAGTTGAAAAAATGGGAAGCCCGCCTACAGTCTCGCGCATCAGCAATACGTCTTACGGCAGGGGAGCCCGAGGGGCTCCACGTACCATGGGGACCACCGGCGCACTAGGTCTCGTCGGTCTCCGGGCACACTTTATATTCAACAGAGGGGCAAATTTCTCGGCATGTTCAAAGTACAACTCGTAGAAGCCGCCGACACGGGTAAGTAGGACACAATTTTCAAATTTCCGCATGTTGGCCCGGGCCTGCTGGACCACGGTGGAGTATATTGGAGGGGCATCTTTCTCCAGCTGCAGTGGCTCCAGCGGAATGACACCCTGGGGAAGCTCATGCGGGTCGGGCAAACCAGCTTGAGGGAGGTCATCCAGCTTGAAAGTTGCTTTGGTCTTCTTCCCTCTATGACTACTCGGGACTCGCCAGGGACTCTGGGGATGCTTGGGCTGGACCGAAGCTAGACGTGTGGGCGGTCGGAGTGGTGGTGGGATCCCGGGTGGGATCTGGTGATGGTGGTGATGGAGGTGATGGTGGTGATGGAGACATCGGGTTGGTGGTGGGAGAAAGGAGAGACGAGGTGCAATGGCACGGAGGAAGATGGGTGGACTGGGCATGAGGCATGAGGCATGCTTTTTGGGTGGGGTTGGGTTGGGTTGGTCAGCCTGGATGTGAAAGTGGAAATTCCGCTCAACGTGACTTTTTTTGTTTTTTTTTTTGGTGGCCTGTCACGGCCTCACGTGAGTGATCGGGGAGCCGGGAAAGAGGGGCAGGGCAGAGGCGGGCAGAGGCGGGCAGCGGCAGGGCGGGGCAGCTAGCCGGATGGAGCACTTCGTATCCTGTTTCCGTACAGATACTTATTGATTAGGTAAGTAGATGGGCCAGATTATCTATCGGACTGCTTAGATAAGGTAGCTTAGCTTTTATTGATTATTGATTAGCAGGCTAGCACTGCAAGCAAAACGCTTAGCTGAGGATCTGTCAGCCGGCATCCGTCGGTTGATTGGCCAATTGAGTTCCAGCCCCGACCCAATACGAATGATGCGATGCAGGGGAGGTGAGGGGTGAGAGAGGTGGGGGGAGGGGGAGGAGGTGGGGGGGTGAGAGGGAGGGGCAGCTTGGGGGAGCTGAGCTTGGAACAGATATATAAAGACCTGTCCGTCTCGTCCTTCTGCTCTGTTCTCTTCTACTTCTCCCTTCATACATCAACACATCCATTGCATCCATCCATATACATCCATACCTCCATACATCCCACACATCCCACACATCCCACACATCCCACTCCTCCCCATCTCACCATGGCTCCTAAAGTCGCAATCGTCTTTGTGAGTTGACCCTCCACCTCTCTCTCCAAGGACAAGAGTGTCTTCTGACTCTGGCTCGCACCCAGTACTCCATGTACGGCCACATCAAGGCCCTCGCCGAAGCCGAGAAGGCTGGCCTGTCCAAGGCCGGCATCGAGGCCGACATCTTCCAAGTCGCCGAGACGCTGCCCGAAGAAGTTCTCACCAAGGTACCCCCGTCCTCCTCCTTCTCCTCCCCCGCCTTACATATCCCCAATCCCTAACCCCGACCAGATGCACGCTCCTCCCAAGTCTGAGTACCCCGTCATCACCCCCGAGATCCTCGCGACCTACGATGCCTTCCTCTTCGGCATCCCGACCCGATACGGCAACTTCCCCGCCCAGTGGAAGTCCTTCTGGGACGCCACCGGCGGCCTGTGGGCAAGCGGTGGTCTCTGGGGCAAGTATGCCGGGGTCTTCATCTCCTCCGCGTCTCCTGGCGGTGGACAGGAGAGCACTGCCATCGCCACCCTCTCCACCTTCACCCACCACGGCAGTAAGTCTTCCTTGCCCTCGTGTCGGCTACCCTCTCCCCCGGTCTACCACCTAGCCTCAACCCCGAACGCTAACCCCTTCTCCCATGCAGTCATCTACGTTCCTCTCGGCTACAAGCACAGCTTCGGCCAGCTCACCAACATCTCGGAAGTCCGGGGCGGGTCGCCCTGGGGAGCCGGCACCTTCGCGGGTGGCGACGGGATGCGTTCCCCCTCCGCCCTCGAGCTGGAAGTCGCCACCATCCAGGGCCAGCAGTTCGGCGAGACCATCAAGAAAGTCAGCTTCGCGTGACTAGATGGACCCAAGGCCGCGGAAGCTGCAACCGGAAACAGCAACGGAGACGCAGCAGCAGCAGCGACGACGACATCACCTAATCAAAATACCCAGGCGAGCGCGAACCCCAGTGCGAATCAGGAGATATCTACAGTGGAGGAGGGCAAAGACAAAGAGGGACCCTGCAGCTTGCCTTCCAAATGCACCATCTCGTAATGGTCGTGCTGTCATGGGCTCTCCTTCTTCTTCTTGTTGTTCTTTCCGATTCACCTACCTTACTTTCTTTCCCCTAGACTTCAGTAAATAAAATAAAACAAGACGTAAAAGTGAAGAATGAACCTCAGAAGCAAGATGGTCTCTCTCTCTTTTTTTTTTTTTAGGGGGTACTTGGTACTTGGTCGTCGTAGACATGAACAATAAATAACACGCGAGCGAAAGAAGAAAGAACAACTTCGACTCGAGTCCAGCCTCAGCCTCAGCCTCATCCAGCGAGAACATCCCATGACTGTAACCGAGCCAGGAGAAGTGATTATCTGCACCTCACACAACCAGCACGGCATCTGACATTCATTCTCATTCTCATTGCCAGCTGCGAAAGGAGAGAGACGGCCCGTCTGTCTGTCTATCTATCTGTCTGTCTATCTATCTGTCTGTCTATCTATCTGTCTGTCTATCTATCTGTCTGTCTATCTACCAATCATACACTCCCTACACTGCAAGGCCCAATCTATCAAGTAAAGATAGGTAAGTAGGTAGGTAGGTAGTTACCTACTCAGTTAAAATGTTTACATTTACACTCAAAGGAACACCCCGTGCTACACTACACCCTTCAACGCCTCGAAAGGCTGTCTGTCTGTCTGTCGGTAAGTGACAGGTTTTTTTTTTTTTTTTTTTTTTTTTTTTTTAAAAAAAAGACCTCTGGTCAGATTGGACTACCTACCTACCTATATTACCATTACCATGGATGCTACTCTCCCTCTCCCAGAGCCGAGAGTCCTCAGCAGCGATCTGCTTGCTTAAAAGTTTTTTCTCCCCACCCGCCGCCATCCCTGCTGGCCAGCCACACTTCACGTACCGTAGTACCTACCGGTATTCAGAATAGGGCCCTAATAGGTACTACGAATTAGGAGGAGCGGTAGACTTCTTGGAGCTTAGGTCGATTAA